AAGAGTATTGATAAAAAATTCCATTTACAAGGGAAATATTCACTTTTCAGGTAAACTTCGAAGTTTCGGTTGAAAGTACTAGTCTATGACTCATCTTCAGCACCTTTTTGATTTAGTGTTTTTTAATGGACTGTCAAGACAAGAGCAGATGTGTCACTTCCATATGAATTCGTAAATTTTGAAAGAATTTTGGGTGAAACATCTTCAAAGTTATGCAAAAGTTTGTATCTAGAAGAAATTTCTGTGCATGATCATCCTTTCTTTGGAAGTTTTCTAAAAATGTATTATTTCAGTAAAAGTGAATCTGACCATATAAACATGGGTCCNCGATGATGGTCACTTTCTTGCACTGATGAGTGGCTAATAAGCCCGAAACCGGTCTGCAAGTGTGCCCGTTCCAAAATTGAAGGTCGACTTTTTCAGTTGTATTGCCATGCATATGCAGAAAATTTTCTGTGAAGGTTCCTGCACTGACGCCTATCGGATATAATCCAACGCCATTCGTGGTATTAGCCAGCGGAGGTAGTTCATTTGCTTTAGATATAAATGGTGTAGTTAGTTCGAATGACTCATTTATATAAAGTCCAGAAATGGACATTAGGAAAATTGCTTGTAACATGACTCGCCGGGATTCAATTTGTCTAAAAACACGGCTCTCCTCTTGTATACCGGCGGTTCAGTTAGCAGGAAAATGATATAGCTATTTGATTGTAAGCTGTACAGGATGACAATTTTATAATTCTTAAAAATGTGATAATTAGAAATCCTAATATACAATCAGTATGATTGAATACATAAAAATTATAATAGGGTTAATAGAATTATCTGTGAAGGGTGATAAGCAACTATATTAATTAACAAGTAATATCTGAATAAATACATACTTGAGTTGCAGTTAGTTTTCTATAATAGTAGTTTCAGAAGAACAACTTTGAAAGAGTGACTTATTGAACTTTTTTAAATATACGGTTCGATTATTATATGGTATCAAGCCTTTATGAAATAGAAAATTCAAATTTTTTTAATATAATATGTTTGCTGACGTGAACATTTAAACTTCCTCTAGTTTGATAATTGATTGTTGAATCTAACAATCCGGTTGATAACCAATATAAGTGCCCTTTCAAAAATTTGTAGATAAATATCAGAAGATCATTGAAAAGTGGTACCATCGTGTTTCCAGTGGAATCTAGGACATAGAATGTTGTATCGCTGCTAAGTGTGACTTCTGTAAACCAATAGAGTTAGAATTCAATAATGTCAATAGTATTGTTATATATTGATAAGTAGAATTTGGAACCTGCCTTGTGAAATAAATCTATTAAAAACACTTTTTTTCCCTCACCAGAACAAAGATACTCTCTTTCGACGCGCGTTTCGTTAACCAACTTAGCATCATCAGGAGATGATTGAGACTACTGCCTAGTAGTCTTCCAATGATAATTTTTTGAAAATATAGTGTAGTAGAAATAGAAATATAGATATATCTGTTTTCCCTTTAACCAGCTGTCGCCACCCTACAAACTGCAACTCTTAAAAGTCAAAACTTGTGCGAGCTAAGGACTAACGAGGTCTTACCTTTTAACGTGTGATTCCTAACACGGTAAAATCTAAAATAATTTCTCTCCCATATTCTTGTGCTTGTGACACATAGAGAAATCTGTACTCTTGTTTTGATGGAACATTTCTGAAAAATTATTTTCATTTCTTTCGTGTGTATCTGTGATAGTCACCCACAATTCAATTAAAAAAGAAGAAGCCTAAAGTTACTGCAATCCCAAAATTGCCAAATAGTGAAAGATTTCGATTTGTTTCTGCCAGCTCTACGGAAAAGCTAGCAGAAATCTCTGATTGAAAAAACAACAAGTAGAAGTGAGGACAATGACATCCTCCTCACAAAGATGCCATCGATGAGTTCGACAGAGAACTCAGATAAACAAGGTTCCTCATGGTGATCAATTACAAAGCGAAGCTTCGACATCAACCGCAAATGAGATTCGTCCTGTCTTCCACTGCACCTTTCACTTCAAAGCAACTAGCTGAAAATCAGAACCCAAACAAAACGTATTTATGATTCAACACCAGACAGCGTTGTTTCGACCCTCCACAGGTCTCATCGATGGTGCTAGGCTAAACCACAAATGCATTGCTGAACTCAGCTATCCTTAAAGAACGAACCTAAGTTAGTGAGGGCGATGATATCTCCCCTTACAAAGAGGCTATCTATGGGATCAAAAATAAACAAGGCTCCTCAAGGCGGTTAGTTGCAAAGCTAAATTTCTACATCGACCGTCGACGAGTATTCTCATAACAATAAACGTATATCGCTTTCTCTCTCTCTCTCTCTGTATTTTCATGTGTGTTATGCAAAAACATGGGAGTTGGTAGATCTGGGATTTGTCTCTTATCAAACAAATTGCCAAAATGATTTGGGACTTACATTTACTCTATATTCTGTATAAAAGGAATTGCGAAATTCTTCACATTAACTTTGAAAATTGGAAAGATATCAATAATAATCACAATCCTCTGTTTGCTCATATTTTCTGTGCAATTTCGTATTTTCTCTTACTATTTCCTTTCGTATTGGGCTAAACCATGCAGGAAAAGGTGAAGGTTTATAATTAATAATTATGATTTATAATAATTTTTTACAGGAACACAAGAATAACATTATATAACATTTTTAGGAAAGACATTTGTTGGCTTTCTACTTTTCCATCTTCATATAAAAAATGTGGGAAATGGAAGAAGGAAGAAAACAATAAGTTCAAAATGAACTCTTTACAAAGATGTATAGATCATGTATAGAAATTACTTTCACATACAAATAGAAAGAAAAAGCCCTTCTGAAACAACTACTTTCCCATGAATATTGAATTACACGAGAGAAAAAGTGCTTTGGAAACAAATAATTTCATCTGAGTATTGAATTATACAAAAATCACTTTTTTTTATTCAGTTTGTACTCCAAACACTCCTTATGGAAATAAATCAGATATCACTTATAGGAATGCTACACAATATAATACATTAAAGAGTTCGCTTACATGAAACACTATCATCCTCAATGGCGGACTTCAAAGTTTCGGAATAAGACACTTGACTTTTACCTCATCAGCACATAAAACGTTTGCTTCTTGTCTGTGTGGTGTTGTTGTCTCGAAAATTTTATTTTTATTATGTACCTAATATGTTTGATTATTTTAAAATGGTTATATCTTCAACACGAAGAAACTGCTTTTCGAGCCCCAAAGAAGAATTTAATTAAATGAAAAACACTGATAAGAAAACATTTTTTTTCAACAAACGTTGATCCTGTTACCCAGTTAATTGAATATCATTATTATTAAATAGGAATAGGAGAAAATCTTTTTAAATTTTCAATTACACTAAAGAAAAAATCCTTTCGAAAGAACTTTCATAGGTCGGTAGCAGGTCGGTTCGACGTGGATGCTTAGATCTTTCAAGATCTTAGATCTTTCAAAAGCTTTTGACAATGTCAATCATAAAACATTGCTAAATAAACTTGAGGCTTATGGAATCAGGGGAACCTCAGCTAACTTGATAGAATCATACTTATATAATAGAAAACAGTACGTGGTCGAAAAATGTCACATCACAAATGAGGTTATAAGGTCTGATGAACTAACAATAATTAGAGGGGTACCACAAGGATCAATTCTAGGTCCATTGCTGTACATTCTCTATACCAATGAACTACAAATGGACAACAACTTGAACACTATACAATTNACGTCCATCTTCTCTGTAGACTCTGGTTGAGATTTTTATGGTTACTACATGGTCCATAATAATGCTAATAATTATAATGATAATAATAAAGACAGTCTGATCTCAATGAACTGCGCAACCCGATTACCCGATGGGCTAAACACTTATTGGTGGAAAAAACTACCAAGCACCCACCTTCATCTGGCCAAGGTTTTCAGCTCATAGCTGGACGAAAAGCAGCCGATTCCGGATTGGTTTGTTGAGGGGCGGACCGTTCTAATCCCCCTAAGCGGAGATTTGTTGATTCCTAAGAATTACAGACCACAGTTATACATCTTTTCGACAAAGATACACACATCTTAGGATGAACCTCATTTAGGAGGAATCTTACCTCCGTGGATGATACCTGTATTCAAACACCCCTCGCTGCAGGGTTCAACTTTACACATACATGAAAGAGTATTGATAAAAAATTCCATTTACAAGGGAAACATTTACTTTTCAGGTAAACTTCGAAGTTTCGGTTGAAAGTACTAGTCTATGACTCATCTTCAGCACCTTTTTGATTTAGTGTTTTTTAATGGACTGTCAATATAACAAACTTCCAAATGCACTAAGAAGCCTCTCTAAAACAACACTCAAAAATAAACTTAAAAACTTTCTTCTAAATAGAGCATACTACTCAACAGATTTTACCTGCTAAAATGTCTCACATTTAATTGATTTCAATTTATAAATGTTTTTAACTGTATATTTATTACACTGACATGTTCTACGCTCATCTGGGCATCTTACTTCATTGTAATTGAACAAATAATAAATAATAATAATAATAATTTGTTCATTCACTCAAATCGACCGCCGTGTTGGTCGGTGGTTCAAGCCCCAGGCTGAACGAACGATTTTCACTTGTTATCGTCCAACCTGTGTTACTAATCACACGTTAAAAGGTAAGATCTCGTTAGTCCTTAGCTCGCACAATTTTCGACTTATACAAAAATCGGTTTTTTCTATTCAGTTTGTTCTGCCCATATTCATTATAAAGTTGAAACATATCTTCCACATGAATGCTGCACAGTATATTACAAAATCAACTTACACGGAACACTATCATCTTCAATGGTGTACTTTGAAGTTTCGGAATAAGACGCATGTCTTATCAATCACACCACTATTACCGTTTTGGATTACTTTACTCCTAAACAAAATATACCTCTTTCAATGTGACATGATTTGACGATAAATCGTGTTTGTTCAATTTTCAGTTTCAGATGACAACAGTTCCATTCAGTCATCCCCTTGGCAGAGAGACCATTCTTGGAAACAGACGAGTCCCAGTCGTAACATATCAAAGGAAATGATGTTCTATTTTTGGAAGCCTTGCAACAAACGGTCCAAAAAACGAAGCAGAAAGAGAAGAAATCCCCATTCGCCTACTCCAGAATCTCATAATGAAAATGTGAAATGCAGTGAAAGGGGTATCTTGAAAATGAAGAAGGAAAATTGTAAACGCTCCTTACTTACGATTGTTCAGAGTCTCATGGACAAAGGTTTCAGGACAAGGCAAGTCTTTTCATTTTATTCAATCAATAGCTTGTCATGAATGACAAGCTATTGATTAGTATGTTTAATTAGCTGTTTGAGAAGCTTAAACAATGTTTTTATAACGTAAATCTGCATAGCTTTTTATTCTATATCAAAAATGACTCATTGCTCCGTTTTTTTTGTCATGAGAAATTTGTAAATGTTTATGTATAATTATAATTGTTCTTCAGTACTCCTCCTCGAGCCGAAACTGTGGTCTCTCCCAGAAAACGCTTTCTTCGTGAAATGGAAAAAGATAAAACTCAAGGCGATGATACTTCCCAGAAGAGAAGTCGTAACAAGTCCCAGTCCAATCATATGATTCCTACTACTTCTCCAACAGCTTCGGTAATGGCTGGTAGTGCTATTGTTACAAATGGCATGGATGATACCAAACCTCTCCGAAACTCTAGTTACAGCATTACATCTTTGTTGGCTGAAGATCGTAATGTAAAGAGTTCACCTAGTAACTCACCTAGTCACTTTTCATCAGTAGGACATCCGCAGTACTGTAACCCTGCTGAAGAACGTTGGTATTCGGAGAGTGTCAACAGGTTGCGGTCAATAGAGCTGTCGGTAAGTTAAAGTCAAAGTTTTCTTTTCTTTTTTTTTTGCAAACAATAGATATCATTTATCTTCTTGATATTTTTCAGCATGTGGAGAAATGCGGGGTTTACCCGCCCTATTCTCAGCAGCCGTACATGGGTGCCCCCTATTTGTACCCCTTTCACCCAGTCACTCCTTACTACCGCACAGGCGTTTATGGCAGGGGGTATGTAGTGCCTTCGATGTATCACACATCGCCACTTCATATGCCAGTCAGACATGAAACGCCTACTTGCTCTTGGGCTCTCGAACCTGGCAGAAGTGGAGAACATGGTGAAGATCATATTACAGGTACGAACGAATCTTTGGATAGGTGAACTTACAGAACTTTTTGTGTTTACACTTAATTTGATGACTATTAGGAAATCATAATTTGATTGATTTTTGATTGATATATAATGTAAGAAACAGAAGACATTTATTTATTATTCATACAGATCTACAAGGCCTTATGCCTTGTAGATCTGTTTGAATAATTGCATTCAATAACGTATTCCAAAAACACTTTATTGTGAGATTTTCACTAACGACAATGGCTTCATCATTGTATGGCGAAACACGTGTTGCGTTTTTGTAAAACAATTTAGTGAAAATCTCACAATAGAGTGTTTTTGGAATACGTTAGTTATGGATTTTCATCAAGTATCGGCCGATTCCATCATATATTTGCATTCAATAATTTGCCTAGTCATATAAAAAGCTGTGATTCATTAAATTCATTCAAAAGAAAATGTATTGAATATATTTCAAGTGATAGTCATCAATATTTGGTTGTTTTCTTGTTTCTACAATGTGGCTTGTCACTATTTTTATATTTTTTGTTTTGCATTTTATAAGTGACCGACTGTACTATGAAGAGCATTATTTGTTAATAAAAAGTTATATATATTTGTATAGCTTACAGTCTAATATCTAATCCATGCTGTGTGTTACATACTGTGTAACGACTTTTTTGAAAGGGCTCAATGAAACTGTCAATTCTGTATCCATCAATAAGTTGAATGTATTGGATAGTCGCAACATGTATGGTATGGTAAGGTTAGTGTTTATGAAGTCCTTATTTGGAATATATCCAGTTTTGTGATCCTTTAACAATAGTGATATACAAAATAATCTCTCACTAATGAATGAAAAAAAATATTTTTATCCTTTAACTTGAGTATGCTCCTTGAAGCAGATATTTGCATTTCCCAATTCTTATTTCTCACATACTATAACTGTAGTAATTTTGAATAACACAAAGCTGTATGCTCGTGTTATCGCATGGGACTATCTGACTATGAAGCAATAACTTGGACTGTACATCTCAAGTCCTCAAAAACAGTTCAAACTGTGATAGTTAGGATTGTTTTGGGATTTATCGGTGGAATTCTCTCTAAAGATGGCCCTTTGTTATCATTTTACGAAGCATTATTGAATGTATTCAACAAATCCTTCCTGTTGACAAAAGGATTAAAAACTTCCTCTAGAGAACTACATCCATTTCATTATATTCTGAAATTTATTAGGGACCAACTCATTATTATTTTTTTTTTTTCAAATGGATCATCTATAGATGACATTGAGTGTGTCAAAACGTGTACAAATACAAACTCTGTGCACTCAGAGGCACAATATACAATTTACATAGATAATATAATATATAATAGTCAAAACCTAAAATAATCATGCTATTTATGCAACAGCATCTTTGAAATCTGCCTAAAATGTTGGACATGTACATACTATATAATAGTCAAAACCAAAAATAATATGTTATTTATGTAACAGCATCGTTATTTAAATCTTTCTAAAATGTTACACATGTACAGGGTCATAAGTTATCCATATATTATTTGAGAGAATAATAGGATTTATTCAGGAGCAACTCTTTGATATGATGTGCGATTTTACATATTTTAAAATCTCATAAATGTATATGCTTGTACTTGTAATAGTCAATATTCTGAGATTTTGGAATATGAGTTTGCAACTTGTCCTTCTAGTAACTCCTGCTATATACCTTATGGTTCTTTTTTGAATTTTGAGTATTTTGGAACAATCACTAGATGTTCCCCAAAGCTATAATACCATAGGAAATGTTACAATGAAAGTATGCATGTTAGTACATTAATAAGAGTGATCTATTTACATTTCAATGTAGTTGTTGAATACAATAAGATATTGAGGATATCATTTTACAAATCGTATCAATATGCTTGTTCCATTTGAGATTTTCTGTTATCTTCATTCCATTAATTGACGTTACTAGTAAACTGTGATCTGGAGTGGTTCTTGAATGATTAAAACGTAAAAGCACAGTTTTTCTTTCATTTAACAAGAGACCATTCTCTAAGAACCACTCTTGGGTTCTTTTTATTTCATCAGATGCTTTATTAACTGTGGCTTTAATATTTTCCTGAGTTATCAATAAAGATGTGTCATCAGCATACATGACGAATTGATCACTATAAAAATCATTCACATATATTATTTATAAGAGTGGACCTAATATAGAACCCTGAGGAACACCGAGGGAACAATTTTTAGATTCTGAATAATTTCTGCTAACCTCTACATAGTAGTATCTACCCTCTAAGTAACTTACTCTAAGTAGTTAGGTTAGGAATCACACGTTAAAAGGTAAGACCTCGTTAGTCCTTAGCTCGCACAAGTTTCTCAACTTCTGAGAGTTGTCGTTCGTATGGGGGCGACAGCTGATTACTGGAAAAACAGATTTTTAAACAGATTTTAAACAAGTCAATTACTACCTACTATTACTAATAATAATCTCTCTTTAAATTAACATAATTGATTTAAAATTTAGCAGATATTTTTATGAACAACTTAGAAAATATGCATATACTTAATAATGCCTATAATAGAAACACATTTCATTCTGGTCTAGATATGTTGATGATATCCTTGTGGGTTTTGACGGCTCGATGAGACATAAATCAGTTTCTGAATGTCCTTAACACTCTCCATGATAAAATGAAATTCACGGTAGAAATTGAACAAAACAATTAACTTTCTTGATCTTACTGTTACAAAAATTAATAATCAATTTCAGTTCAACATATTTATGAAAAACACTTTTGCGGACTGTACAATCCCCACGGATTCTTTCAGTCTATTATCACATAAATTGTCTGCATTCAGAACAGTGATACATAGAGCATTTATGATTCCTTCATCGTAGAAGGCTTTCCGAAATGAAATGAAGATCACATCTAATAACCATATTCCAGTCAACTCAATTGAGAAAATCATCTCCAATAAATATCGAAAGAAACAAACCACTAAATAAATAAAGAAAACATGAAAATTCTCCATATGTGCAGTAAAGGAAGGGAGATGAATTTGTTGGAATCATTGGAAATGAATTGAATAAAAACCCCCAATTTCAAAACCCTCAATGACCAACTAGAACTATGCAGCTCTCCCATTTTAAATTTGTGAATTTTGAAAACTAGTTTGGGATCCATTAGTTTTTGAAGCAATCCACAAGTGGTGTTTTTGGATCAATACTCAGTAATTTTTTTATGTTTGGAAGTTGAATAAATATTGTTTTAGTATCTTAGATAAGGTATTGATGAATCAGGTAACAATTTTGTTATTTCAGGTACAGGTTTAATTAACCTATTTGGCATTAATTTTAATGATCCTATACTATTTTTTTTTTTGATTTTTTTTATATTTTATGTTCGCTTGATTTTCGTATCCTACTACCATTGACTTTTATCTTACCATTTAATATCATAATATGTTCAAATCAAGCACTTCCTAATACTAGGACCCCAATATTCTTCTCTACGCACCTTTCACTATTTTCATTGTTTACTGTTTCATAAATCACCCTGTTAAAATTAGCGGGAACTTTCAAAGGAAAATATTCCGCAAATTTCTAACCAAAATCAGTGGTGATGATATTTTATATGACTATTTATCTTATTTTTTATATTTAACTTATCATTTATGTAACCATGCAGGAGACATCTGAATATATCGTGTCATAGCCTAATTTCTTTTTTGTTTCAGATATGCCATTAAACTTGTCGAAGCATTCTGGTTGAATCAGTGTGTGCCTTCCAAAATTTCTGATGCAAGAATGGGTTTTCTTTCCACAACTCGAGAAAATTGTTCTTTCAAAGAGAATTTTATTTTCAAGCTTTAGAGAAAATACCATGCATCAGTAACATTCAGTCTTCGGACAGTGCTTTTGAAGCCCAATGCAACAAATGCATAAACAGATCTAGCTTTAAAGCATGAATTTGTGCAATTGACAGCTCTACAAGCAAACAACTGTAGATAACACTAGGTGTACATACAATATCAGATATTTTGTATAAATCCATTTTTGTATTATTTTTACATTTTTAAAAAATACTTAAATAACCGGTAGAAATACTTTGTGAACAAATCACTTAAGTATGTATATAAGGTTTTGCAATCGTGTATATAGTATGTCAAACATATCATTTCACTATTTATTCAAGAACGATTCAGTATAGGTAAGAAATCCAGTGTTTTTCCAGAATATTTTCTACATTTAATGATCAGGTGCTTCCTCTTATTGTCATTGTTTTGAATTATCTTTGTTCTGGTTTTTTGTTCTACAAACTGATGCAGATATTTTGTAACTTATATTCAAAACTGGTTTTTGAAGGATACTATCATTTAAACTCATTTCTTTTTTAGTGTGAAGAATAGCAAACCTCCCTACCTAATTGATAAGTAAATTATAAAAATACCTCTTTGATGATAAAAACAGATCATATTGTAAAGGTAAAAAGTGAAAAAGTGGTTTGTTAAATTTTATTCTTGTCAATCATCAAAATCTGTCTAAATATTTCTTGGCAATATTTGAATTCTTGTTAACATTAAACATAAAGATAGTGGAATAAACATTTGACTACCACTATCGTAAAATATGTCATTCATTGCTAGTTATTCATAGAATACATTTTTCGATATCAAGTATGATTTTCGAAATAAAATATATTTCAATAATCAGAAAAAAATGTTAATAAAAACATTTTAATACAAAGAATAATAATTTCAGTTGTGAATTCTAACAACATTCATCATCATGAATTTAGTATCATTATGACAGTGTATGACCCATTATTATCACAATTTTAAAAAAATTATGAGCAAATATAGGAACTACATGTTTTGGCAAACAAAGAAACAACTAAGGTAATTCTCATAAAGATACTAATAATTTAATTTGACGTTACATGGTCAGGTTTAAAATATTGTTTTACTTGGCAAAAAATCATTTTCTGGAATTCTCCGACATTAACACTTTATTGTCTAAAAATTTTAGTCTATCTTGATTTCAAACTGAGTAATGCTTTTAGACAATAAAAATCCAAACCTCAAATAAGAAGCAGCAAAATGTATGCAGCAAATATAACGTCATATTTTTTGTATTGAAAAAATATGGTAGAAGTGTAATAAAAAATATATTAAGAAAGATTAATGCAAAAAATGTTGATTTAGTTTTGTGATTTACATTGTCCACGATTTTATGATGAATTAAACATAGAAAGTACCAATATATCACTCTGAACTAGGTTAATACATGCGCGAATTTTTTTTAATTGCTCAACACAATGAAGCTTGTTCTGTTGTATTTGGTATGTCCTGTGATATTGTTCATTTGAACAGTTTCTGTGGCTTGTTTCACTTTGTTAAAAGGCAATGTAATGTCATAAAATAGATTTGTTTCAGATTGGTAGAACTTTATTAGAAATGTACAATGTAAACACTTGAAATATCTGTTTCAAGAGATCTCAAATTGACCACCATTTGGTGTTACTAGATTTGGAATGTTTTTTTATAGTTCTTTTCATTTAGTTCTATATACATACAGCGTGGTCAGTGAAGCTCGCATCGTATGGTGTTTTTGATAGTTTTATTTGAAATTTGACTCGGGCATCAATCTACTTGTATCGAAATAAAAATAACCCAAGAAAATGTAGTCATGTTATTCACGTTATCTGCTGAATCTTATTTTTTTCCAAAAGTAGATATTTATCAAAGCATCTAAAAAAATTTATAAGTTTAACAACCCCTATAATCTTGAAGGTTAAAGTTGGCATAATGGTTCGTTCAAGTATTACATCTTACCTGAAAACTACTGATATAACCGAGTTTTCAAACTTCACATTTCAGTTTTACACTTGATGATGGGATTAAACCAGTCGTATAAATACAATTAACTAGCGGTAATCAGACAAAAGTATTTTTATTCATTTCATTAAAGTGATCATGAATTACCACAAAATAAACAAGTCATCAATCATACATAAAATTCATTTAGTTATTTTCATATGACTATTTTTTAAAAAGAAAGTTTGGTTTAAAAGTAATACACATTATTTTGAATGCATTGTAACTTTCATATAGGAAAATTTGATATTATTCAGTTGAACTATATTCTCAACTTTTATATTTTTAGGTACAAACTATCTTCTCAAAGATAAATAATTTATGAAGTTACTATATACAGAATCAAAAACAAATGAACTTTGCATCACCTGTCACCATTTTTCAATATGCTCATTTAATTTTTGTGGAAAGACACATTTATTATCGCATTACTTCAAAAGAAAACGTCCTAAGGAAGCATTGTCAAAACTAAGCTGAGCTTTATTTTGCAACAGAGTTCAATTTACAAAAAAAAGAGGAAAAAATCAAAATTATCCTATACGGCTGAAATTTTGCATATGGATTAAGAAACTTTTTTTGAGTAATTTTTTTTTGGTATTTTGAAGAATAACCCCTCTTTGGTATTTTTTTTGAAAATTAAAATTTGACAGATAATGCAAATCACGCGACTATATTTTTTTGGGTTATTTTTCATTTCGATCGAAGCAGAGATTGTTGCAGACATAATAAAAAATTCCATATGATGCGGACTTTACTGATAGCCCCCTTTGAAGTGTTTTGAATATAATGAAAACCAGAAAGTTGGAGGTACAGCTGTACAAATATGAAAAAATATTAACCTTGAACAGCTTATATGGAAATTGTTCTTGCCAAGTATAATATATGATATAACAAAAAGGTTCTCAGTAGCGACAGTCTTGTTGATTTTCAGGAATTATGACTTTTGATTGTGAATGATAATCATACTTCAGGGTCATGGCTGATTTATGATTTCTCTATATCCTCGCAATAATTTTTTTATTCAGCAAGTTTTTGTTATGTCAGACTTAAGCTATATGCCCAGTTTCTGTCAGTAATACAGAGGTTGATCTTTTATTGATATCGCAAGCCATTAGTGTATTTTTTTTATCCTATAATATCTGTTTTGAGATGAAGAAATTGTTTAATACATTATAAAATAAGAATATATTATTTTGAAAGATTTACTTTCAGTTACCTGTTTTGAAAATTTTGGTTTCTTTTTTACACTCTGCATAACCATATAGCTGATTTTCTGACTCAAATTATTGGTTTTGTTGTGAGAGAGTAGTCTTCTTGAATATTTTTTTTATAGAAATGATAAATATGTCGGGGGGTTATTCAGCTGATTTAATAATCTTGCTAGAAGCTGTAAGTGGAATTAAATTTGGAAAGAAAGGTTATTTCTTTCTACTTCCCAAAAATGGGAACATCCAAAGAAAGAAAGTAATTAATTTCAAAATAAACTCTTCACATGTGATCATGTAAAGAAGTAACTTTCAGACACAAACTGGAAGAAAAAGCTGACTTGAAACAACTACTTTCATATAAACATTGAATTATACGAAACAAAATAGTACTACTTCAGTTGCCATCTTTCTTTGCCAATGGTAATTCTAAGAAGGTTTTATACCGATTAATACTTGATTAACAATTTATACTAGATTCGAAATGAAAGGTGAACTCAATGGGCCGAGCGTAGCCATCATCATATTTCTGTCTTTATAAATATTAAAACAAATGTGTGAAATTTTTGCACTACAGATATATTTCATTTGAATGATATAGTCAATCAGTCAGGTAGGTAGTTATTCATTAACTAAATTAAAAGAACTATTAAAAAATTCTCCTTACTGTATAATGTTTGTTGAACTACCAGAAAATGAAGGTCATTTTTATTGCCATGGGGGAAAATACAGGTATTTTTTTTATTCAAAATGCTGTTCCTTCTAAAAAAAAAAGTGGGTTGCTTTCTGCAGAATGGCTAACGACAGGAATATATGCGGGAGTTTGAGAGTCTGGAAAATTGTGCTGTTAGAAAGCGACTGCAAATAAATACTCAATACTATTTGACTATATTGTGCTCCCTGGCAGTGCTGCCATGTATAGTATCCAAAATATGCTTTTGTTTTCATTCATAATGGAATGCTTGCACATTCACAGAACTGATTTCCGAATATTAGTAGTATCAAATATGTAATAACCTCTGGTAGAAGTCCATTATATTTCAGTAGATTTGCGAAGAATAAAAACTCAAAAGTCATCTTCACAATTTAATGTCACCATCAGATGTTAGAGCGGTAAAACCATCAATCAATACATGTTTCGAACCTATACAAGTTCATCATCAGCCAATATTTAAAATTATGAAGAAGAAAATATTTCATATTATAACAGAGAAAATAGAAACATGTACTGATTGATGGTTTTACCGCTCTAACAACATCTGATGGTGACATTAAATTGTGGAGACGACTTTGAGTTTTTATTCTTCGCAAATATGTAATAGTACTCTTTTATCATCTATACTTTTGGGTTTGAGAAAACTAAGTTCCTCACGTTTCCACAATTTGTATTTTCAATTATCTGGTGACAACCGACTTTTTCTGATTATGTAAGATGTATTCACAGGTCAATTTTGGAGAATTTTCTTATGTTGTTATTTACTATAAAATATAATGTGAGCTTCTTTGAATCTTCGTTTAAACCAGTGTTCTTTGAATATTCTTGTCCTTGTCAATAAGGATTCGTCATTTTCACAAAGTATTTGGTAGATATAATGTTTGGAGTTTGTTATTTGGTCTTCGTAAGGTTGCAGCAGATTGTGTAATCAGATCTGAAGCAGGTTTTGATGTCGAATTTAAATCCGATTTTCCTTATCCTCTCCGATTGTCCTATCACATAAGGAAGGATTGTGAAGGTTTTTTCTCTTAGTATTCTAGCCAGTGTATGTACGAGGATCTTTTTCTAGTATCAATTTTCCTGAAAATCTTTCTTGATGATGTAGTTCACTAACTTATTGAACCTTTTCTAAAGCTTGATCCATCTGTTCAAAATGATTCCCTTCTTTATTGAAGAATGGTGATTGAATTCAGAATTCATACCATGAAGTGATTTCACATCATATGAAGTATACTGTGGCTTGTTTTTTGCAGTAGGTACTTGTATTTCAGTTTGGATCTACAGAATTAGTTTGGTAATTTCAGTGTAGACTTGCATTCAAGGAGGAGGTAATGGTTTTCTCATGCTACACCATGACACCAAATTTAGTGCATTGTCACACTAAATGGACAAGGCGGAAGATAGTCTTTTGAATAGTATAGAGGAAAGTCAACTTCATTAACAAAAAAATATACTCTTTCCAACTTTCTATTTACACATACATACGAACTTTTGTTATGTATGGATTTCCTCATGGATATTTTTTGGTAGTCCAATGAATGTAACACAATAATAAATATTTTCTATGTTTTTTACCGCTTTTATTTGTAACTAACGTTACTGCAGTTTCGTCCTATATGGAGATTTTGAGACTTATACTCTAAACTTATACCATGAGTTTAATGTATAAGTTTGAAAATGTCCTTATAGAACGAAACTGCAGTAACGTTAGTTACAAATAAAATTGGTGAAAACATTCTATTTTCTTCATTATGATTTCCTACCACATAGTAACGGCTACATCCATCAGTTTAATAAATAGTCTCTAAATTAGGGACAGTGTTCTTTCTTTCCTCATCAGACGACCCCTCTGCAATACTGGATAAATTCCTTTCGATTTACCGATGCTGTAAATATTTTTCAGACATTATACCACTAAGATATAAAAATTGTATAGAACAAGTATATTTTCATATTGCTAAATGTAAAAGAGATTCGAGTATATCTTTAAAAAAGACAATAGATAAGCATAATTGTATTATATTTTTCTTTGGAGGACTCTATTATTGTCTGAATACCTATATTACACTTATTTAATTTTGTAATTCTTTTTTACAATTATTTTTTACTACTTTTGTGCCATTTTCTATAAATAATGAGGTAATATTTTCCAATGGGAATGAAGAAATATTTTTACCATTAATTAACTTCATTGGTCCAAATTTTGCTTGGATAACGGTCACTTCAAAGGTGGAGACGTTTATATTGGCATTTTATTGTGATATGAGTGAATTTTAACTTTGTAACTGGAGTCCAATCTTTGTACTGAATATTTATACCTGGATTTTCTAATGTTAGGCTTTTTAATTGTAATGTACAGTAAAATATAAAAGTTTGATAACATAGTTGTTGTTGTTATTCCCTTGGGAAACTTATTAATAACCCCCCCCCCTCCGAAACGTCAATGTATAAGGATTATCCAACCAAAGATTCTGAAGAATTTCAATCACTTTCTTAGAGTATACCAATGACCAGAACTTGATTGAGATGAGAAATAAAAGGTTATTAGAAAAGTTTTTTCTAAATGCAATTGTTATTGCTTGAGCAAAATTTCAGCCGCATAAGACAATTTTGATTTGGCCAATGGCCAATTTGGAATTAGTCGATACTTGATGATAATCCAGAACTTATCCAAGTAACACTTTATTGTACGATTTTCACCACACAGTTTACAAACTCCCGACACGTGTTTTGCTATTCAATAGCTTCTTCAGGCGTACCTATAGTATAGAAGCCAGTGTATAGCGAAACACGTGTTGCATTTTTGTAAACTGTGGTGAAAATCTCAGTGTTACTTGAATAAATTTTGAATTTTTGATGTTTTTATAATTTGCACAACTGTTGCCAAAATAAGACTCCATCACAACCTACACAAAACTTCTTAATTTTGACAATACTTTATTCCAGACAAATTTTCTTTAAAGAAAAGTCATATTACATCTGCGTTTTTCTATAAAATCTAAATAGGACTATTAAAATTTGGTCATATTTCATGTATTATTTATGTTTTTGAAACTACAGGGTAATTGATTAAAACATATAAGTGTCGAGTTTGTACATTCTATGCAGTTCTTGCTCAGCAATTAAACTGGAAATATTGTGAAAGTGGTAAAAAACCATAGAAAGTTCCATTTCTCATGATCTCCTACCACGTATTGACGGGCTACATGTATCAATTTATTAAAATAGTTTTTCAAGTTGAATAAGCATACAGTATTTATGAGGATTCCACAAATATATAATATGGTGTTTGGGGTGTTATAGATGTTACTGATACGCGGGTGGATCAGGATTGCAATATTTGAACTTGGGTGTGTTCGACAAGCACAATCCTGATCAGCAAATGAGCATGATATCTTCCCTTACAAAGACGCCGTCTATGGAATTGTATAAAAATTCTTATCCTGTTCCTCAAAGATAAAGAATCTCTGATTATAATGCCATAATTTACTTTTTTGAACTATTTTTAGGATATTTTGTTTGATGATTTTTGATTGGGTGCTTTATTTCGAAGATACGGGGCAAAAAACATTTTTGACAATAACAATTTTGGTAATTTTGAAATTATTAACGTAGCCAAAATAAAAGTATAGCGTACTACACTGGACCTACCAAGTAATAAAAAATCTAAACAATTCCGTTGGTACCTAACAACAAAATTCCGATTACTACAAACGGCTGCAGACATTCAATTTAAATAATATGTATTGTGTGATTCTGGTGTTTTTGAAAGAGTTTGCGAGTTGATGAGGAGAAGATTAGATTCTTGCATGCGAGTGGGGGATAGTCATTTCCAAAAGTTCTTGTAGATTAAGAAACATTACATGTTATTTTTGGTAATAATCTGTTATTGTCAAAATTCTTTTTCGCTCATGACATGCTCAGGGTTGCCCCTTTCCTCTCATGCAGACCTACGACTTTGTATGTACGTGTGGCAGATACCCAACGGAAAAAACAACAACTAACTCAGCTAATGCGGCGCAGAGAGTTGAAGTAAAACCATAAGGCACCTGTGTAACGTCTTCTACTTGGAAGATTCGTCGCAAGTTATTTCCCACTATAAAAAGCTAAAAATTGGTCGATCTGATCAACCGATAGACCGGTTTCGGGGTGTTTTCCCCATCATCAGTACCAGGCATGGTGTCTTCAGAACAGTGTGAATCGTCTGAGTACAAAATCATAGGTCACATATATTTTAACAAACAAACATATTATCAATCAATCAAGATTACATTTTTATTTAAAAGTTCAAGTTCTGGAAAAAGTATTTTGCTTGAGTATTATTGCACCCTTTCTGTCACACAACACTGGGTACTCCGTATAATCAATAAAGACTAGTTTTTGCCTAGCTAAACTGTTATTTGTAAATTTTCAGATGTCAGTGTTGCCGACTTCAAACCAAGAAGAATATACTTGAATCATTTATAATTGTAGGTAGGTAGAAGGTAGAAACGTAATATCTCTCAAAACAAATATCTAGAAACTGGTATCAAGACATGAATTGGTGTATTTAAATTCTACATCAATAAGTACTCTGCCTGTTGTCATAATTATCTGACCTCCGAATACCTCCACTGAATGCTATCTGGAAACTGCGGCACGGAAAAGCTAGTGCCCGAGTACCAACTTTGTGAAAGATCCATAAGCACCAGCATTATGCGGGCATTATTATCAGCAAAAATTGTTCTGATAATCCAAATTTGGCTTTTAATTATCTTTCTGGATGTCCCCTCTAGTTTATTCATGCACATAGAAATTACTTGACGAAATTATACTTACATCTAAGTCATAAATCATCATACCAACATAATAAATACAACATACATGTAAAAATTGAAAAACTTTCAGTTAGATATTTATTCTAGAAATAAAGTCTAAAATTTAAACTCTTTATATTTCTTTGTCTGCTTGGTGTCCTGTTGTTGCCTTTTCCGTTTATTCTGAAACAAAATTCATAATTATAGTTGAATGTAAATAAAAGTTTGATTAAAACCAGCTACAGTTTGGAAGCCAAAACTACTCAATTTCAAAATGATATTGTCTCACCTTCTGTTTGGCAACATGCTCGGCCAACATGTCACTGAGATCTTCTTTCTGCAACTGAGACTGATTCTCTCTCATCTGTTGCTCATATCTCACTGCCATTGCGTCGCTATCCATGTCCAACTCTGATGGATCAAGCGCCAATTCAACCATTCCTTCACGATCTGTCCGCCTTTGAATTATTTGGGGAGCACCCCCAGTGGCCGCTATCTGGCTCATATCATATACATGACTGCTGGCCATCATAGCATTACCGATTCTTTCATTTCGTTTTTCAGGAATTATGTGGTACAACACAGGAGTTTCGCTTCTACAAATTTGAAAATACAGGTATCAAAACGGAACATCAGAAGAAAATAAAATTATATGAAGAATATATTTACCCCTCCATGTCATTTTCAATTTTCTTCTTTCTAAGTTCGATGGTTTCAGGTGTCTCCATTCCAGCAGGTATACTTGAGATACCACTTGGAGTTACAAGGCCTTCTGCAGGCGTCACTAACCCAGATTCATCAGGTATGCTTGGGGCTTCCTTTTCTTCTTCTTCCTCCTCCTCTTCACTCTCCTCTTCAGATTCTGATTCAAGTTCTCCCCACAAAGTTCTATCCACATTTGGATCCTCTCCAATATCCTGAAAATTACATTAAATTAAATACTACACGTTACTGATAAATAGAACATTTTCCTCTGCGAAAAGTACTTTGAATTTACGCAGCAACTCATTAAAGTGAATTAAAAAGTTTGCCCTTTCTACATGTGTACGCAATTATCCATTACAATTTTCATATTTTTCGGATTGTGGAAGGTGAGAATACCCAAAGAACGTCGATGAAAAAACTTTAGATTTCCTCTACAAAAAAATAATATTCGTTGAATGATCATAGAACTTTATACAAGGTAATATAGGTGGCAAAAGTGCTGCTAGGCTGAACCACGAATGTATTGTTGTACTCAATAATCATTCTTAATGGACAAAGATCAATGGAGTTCTTCCTGTAATTTTTTTTTTAATTTGAAGCTTACATGAAGTTCCTGAGAAATCTTGAATGTAATTTGGAATATTTTCCAAAAGGGAAGATTTCTTTTCTCAGGAATTTATTTGAGCTCAGAATTAGGACAGGTAAACTCATTTACAGCCTGAGGTCAATACCAGCTTATTTCTAAATAATAACTTAATAATTCCAGATTAAAGAGGACAAAAGCCAAAATGGGGACTGGATAAGAAAGTTAAAGTATGTGAAAGTTGTGAGACATGGGAAAACCTCATGGTATTTATCAGTGGTTTGTGATACAAACTCATTTTGAGTACTTGGTGAAAGTTTTAAGAATGAAGTGTGGCACATAAAGAGATTATCAAGATGATCATCAAATTACCAGAACTCTCAGGATAACAAGAACTTTCATATGAGCTTACAACTTGGAGAGGCAAATTCATTTACAGCTCATTTTCCCAAAAACACTAATTTTTCATTACTGATTAACACCAAATTGAACACTTTGAGAGACAAAACGGGTGCTGGACATTAGAGGTTTATGATATCAATACATTTTGGGTATCTGGTGAATTATTTGGGAAAAAGTTGTGGTATATGAATTCAATTCAATTAATTATCATAGCTATAATGCATAAATAATAATTGATGAATATCAAATTACTAAAATTCTCGAAAATATCGTAAAACTTCAATTATGTGATATTAAATAAACATAAATAACAGTTCCATTATTGAAATTTCAAAATTGGGGGCCCCCAAGTTTGAAAAGCTGTGATCATATTGTGATAGTACAATAATAGTTTAAATGGCAAATTGGAAGATGCAGAAAAAATAGAATATCTTTCAATAAAACGCCAAAATTCCATTAAAATATCTACTCGATAACACAAAAGACTATTCTATATTGACTATTCTTAATTGCTCAGCTTCCAAATATCATCAAACATATTTTTCATTTCAGTTCAAACCTGCTTTTGACATGTGAGTTTTTACATTATACATACATACTGAAGAATTTTCTTTGTTATAAACTGTTTTCTTGTTAATAATAACAATAAGTATGATAATCAATGAAAAAGTATTATCAAAATCAACTTACATCAATGTTAACAGTACTAGTTCCAAAAACGTCACCATACAATGGCTTTCCATTTTCATCAACAGGTGGCTTACCCCAACCTCCTGCATGATATCCAAAAGCACAGCCTTCAGGAATGGGAGCATTCAGTCCTGGTATTTTCAAATTGGGGTAGTTAGGAGGGGGTCCATAACGTTGCTTGGCAATCAGCCACGGAGGAGGTACTTTGTTTGCATTAGGACCAACAGGCATACCCAGAGCTGTTCGTAACTCTTCCGATAAATCCCCAGGTTTTTTTTCTTTCAGTCTGGTTTCAAATTCCTTACCTTCGTAGTAAAGATCGCCATGAATTGTCATCTTTGGCTTTGTTTGCCACCTGAAAAGTAAAGTTTTCCAAATGAATAACTGAATAACAATTTTAAAAAATGACCACTGTAAGTCGTAGTTTCTGAAAATTTCTGTTCCAATGATTCCAAGTATAAATATCTACAGCCCTCTCTGTCACATAAATCAAAATCTATTTGAGAATATTCCATCTATTTGATTATTCCTCTGAAGTGAAAGTGATCAAACCAATGAGATTATTGAAAGAAAATTGAGAACATTTTTAGTGAGTTATTGTTTTTACTTCAAAATGAAATATTTCGATTTTATACAAATAGTTGTATATATGTATCTTCACATTGTTTCAGAACTATACTTAGAGTCACTACAATTCTTTTAGAGAGCAAATTCTCTCTTGATCCGAGTCAAACCCTGATTGAGGCAAATGAACATATTTTATATCACAGATTCTTTATAAAACAAGTTCGAAAATGTATCAGATTAATCAGCATAATCCTTATCAGAGGCATAAAAAATATCTAACAACGGAAATGAAAAAGTGACTTACTTGAAAAAGGCATCATGCAATTTTTGATAATCTATATCAATCTTTCCCAGTTTAGGTCTGGCCCTTTCTCTCATTTTTGCCTTCAAGGTTTTAGATTCATCTTTATCTTGCAAGGATGCTCTCATCTCCATAATACCCGTTTTCTTTATGAAATCTGGCAAGTTGAATGGGGGTTTTTCAATACCTCTTTTTCCCTGTAAATATTTGCGCTTGAAGCACCAATGCCTTGGAACCTAAAAATAATAATAAATCCAATTATCTTATGGAATATACATAGGTATTTGACTTCGAAAGTAGTTAAACTAATTAAAAATGTTTACCTGGACAGTATTTCGGTGTGCCTTCAACTGTACAAGCAACTTAGGATCTCTGGCAGTAACATCGTGCATTTCCACAACATCTGGTCTGTTAACCAACTGTTTCAACTCAGCAACACTCAGCCTTGTTAATTTCTTCATTTTTCGTTTAGACAATTTAGTCTTGTCCTCAAACTTCTGCAAAGACAAGAAGAGATACATATATTACATATATAGCCAGGTATATATTGACAAAAATCTCTCAAAGTAATAGTAACATCCTCTTTTACAATACAATATGGAAATACGAGGGCAGCCCTGTACGTTTTACGACCAATAAGTATTCTTCATGATGATCAATACACTTTTTTTACATTCATTCAAACCATTTATTATAACATCCATGCCACTCCAAAAGTGTAAGGGTGAGAGCTCGCATCGCCATGGTGAAGAATGAGTTATCGTCTCAAGTCATTTTTCCTCATTTGGACAAAACAAATGGTTGTCCACTACTCAGAATAGACTAGTCTACATTTCTCTAAGGGAACTGTTGCCATATGACCAGTTTTTCCGGAAAACAGGCAAACATTTGTTTCGAAGTGTTTCGAGCACTAACAACTTTTGTTAGGTTAGGTACACTTCGAAAGACCCACAGTTGACTGCTATTTTGTTTTAGACTCATAAACAAAGATCCATGACTCGTCACCTGTGTAGAGGTTATACACAAAATTTGAATTGCCTTCATCGAATTTCTATAGCATTTTTTGCTCCAATTCACATGATAATTTTTTGGGTAATTATGCAGGATACAACATGAACAAATTTTTTTAAGGCCAAAGATGCATGCAACATCGTTTACATGCAATTCAAACCAACACCCAGGGATGCCTGAATCACATGGTATGTTATAACGTCGAACTTGCATTATCAGTTCACACACAGCAGTGATGTTTCCTAGCACAGCAGATGATACTGAATAACGCAAGGTTCGTCCGTGAGCAAACTATGACCACAATTGAATTCGTTGAACCAGCGGCAATAGTAGCCTTCTGTGGTGCTTCACATTATCAAAAGGAAAGCAACTTGAACTATACAGCCCCTTATCTCGATAATTCACGTCAAAAGTGATAAATCACAACACAAAAGTTTTCTTATGTTATTTCTATTTTGTCAATGAGACAATTTTCAAGTCACTGAAAAGAATACAAGTAACCTCTGTATTACAAAGTTTCCAGAGAAAAATCTGAACTGTCAAACTTTTTGGAGGTAAGGTAAGATTTTCACCTAGCAACACCACTTTTGCCAAGTAGCAAAACTTACGGGACAATCCTATTGATGTAATTATATAACAATTATAAAAACAAACCTTCTGTATTTTATGATTATTATTACTTACCTCTTCATTTTCATCATCGTCCATATCTTCTTCTGTAGTAATCGCTTTACTAGATAGAGCCATTGGGGTGGCTAATACAGGTGGAGCAATGTCAGCTTTTTGATCTGTGAATTTGAAGGACTCAAATATGCTATAGAACTGACGATACTGTGGGGCCAACTCATGTAAACCAATAGTTTCTTGAACATACCTATAACACATTCAAAAATTACATAATTTAAAATTTTGTTGATAAAAGTTCAACAGAAATGAGCTTTCCTCTGCGTTATTGTTCTGACACACTTACAATGAGTTAGTTATTATTTTCTACCCCAAAATTCCCAAGAATTGTATTAATTTGTCTTATAAATCTATACCTAATCTTAGAAATTTGTCTTCAAATATCATAAACTTTTTCATAATGAACAAAATATCAAAATACGCCCAAAAAAAATTAAAACTATAAAAAATTTGAATACTAAATTGAAAGAGGAAACGGATATTACAAAAAAGACAAATGTAATTTATAACATTATTTGTAATGATTGTTACTTGAATTACATTCATGAATTCTTAATGATAGAATAACATCACATAAAAGTGATAAAATTCAATAAGGAGTCCAAACAGGACATAAACCAAATTACCCTGATATCAAAGTTTTACGTACAGGCCGTTTTTATATATCCTACTATTGCGATTTCAGAAACCATAAGACCCATATGGTCAGTTAAATTGGACAAAGTTCCTTATTTTGAGGAACTAGAATCTTTTTTTTCAGATCGAGAACACCAGTGGTTGTTCTTGAAACAATTGCCAAAAAGTAAAATTGTCAAAATTCATTTTTTCAAAAGCTGTGCGGAAAGGCTTTATATTTCTAATTCACTTTACAGAAATACTCAACCCAGGACAATTAATGTTACCTGAAAATAATTTGTGAAGAATGCAAACGACAAAGATGAGTCTTCATTTGTCAAGTTATGTTAAATTTAGTTGTGACAATATTTTTACATAATGATAAATTCCAAAATCTGCTACAAATAATAAGGCTACCATACTATGGGACTCATGATGCACTGTTTGGAACCTTTGGTGTAGTAATGAATATTACTGGAGTTTTTTCCCCAACACCAAATCGTTATTTTTAACACCTCGACACATGTTTCGATCACCAAGTGATCATCTTCAAGAGCAAGAGAATAATAATAATAATCGTCTTTATTGTTTTGCAGATGTAGTTCATCATCTTCAAAGAGGAAGATTAAAACTGATTTAATTTTTTCAACATTCAATTTAATTTAATTATTAATTTTAATTGATTTAATTTTTTTAACAGTTTTAATCTTCCTCTTTGAAGATGATCACTTGGTGATCGAAACACGTGTCGAGGTGTTAAAAATAACGATTTGGTGTTGGGAAAAAACTCCAGTGATATTCATACTATGGGAATAGAATCAAGAAGAGATCAACATGGGATCAATACAGAAGTTTAATGGTATTAATCGAAAATTCCAATGAGGAACATATTACAAAGCCCAGTATTCTAAAAGATCAAGTTACTGATATGTAGAACATTTTTCTACATGAAAAATGTATTTTGAATCTATCCAGTAATTTATTGGGGTATCTTAAAAAGTTTGCCCTTTCTACATGTGTGTAAAGTTCTCCTTTCTAAATTTTCATATTTTTTCAAATTGTAGAAGGTAAAAATACCCAAAGAAGGTCGATAAAAACTGTTTCCCTCCACAAAAAATGACTCGATCAATAATATTCTTCATGTAATGGCCTACAAATACACGTTGTTGGATTAATTCAGTTGAACGCTGAAGAGTGGAGGTGTATGTTTGTGATTTTTATGGCAGTGAAAAAATCTCACACTGTTCGTGATAGTTTAATGTATACGTTTGAAAATGTCCTTATAGGACGTGTTAGGAATCACACGTTAAAAGGTAAGACCTCGTTAGTCCTTAGCTTGCACAACTTCTGAGAGTTGTCTTTTGTATAGGGGCGACAGCTGATCAACAGAAAAACAGATTTTAAATAGACAAACAGACAGGACGAAACTGCAGTAATGTTGGTTACAAATAAAAGTGGCAAGAAACATAGAAAGTTTCAATTTTTGAAACTTTCTATGTTTCTTTTCTTAAAAAAATATATATTTTTTTTTCAACGGATAAAAATAATCAATAAGAACAAAACCTCACGCTGTCATTTACATGTCAACAGTGTTAATTTTTAAATTAAAATTGGGATAAGGAATGTGATGTCTGAATCGGCACTTGATGGTAGGAAAATTAACAATTGAATGATAAATATGAAGTGATTATTCTCAAACTTACACAAATTCCACTTCTTCCTCCAATTCTTCATCTTCCTTTTCTTTAGGCTTAGGTTCATTTTGTTTATTTTTTTCGTCATTTACTCTGTTCTTCTTATTTTTCTTTCTCTTTTTTTTCTTCTTATTTTTACTAACTTTATCTTTAATCTCTTTTTCCTTTTGTTGTTTTGGCGGCTCTGGTTCAACATCTACAACCGTCTCCTATGAAATAAAATGTTGTATTAACTTGTAGTTCGACAACCTTAATAGCTGAAAAATCCATATGAAATAGAAATAATATCCTCAAGTATAGCACATCAAGATTTTGAAAAAAGGATTCAAGTTCAGAATTCATATTGACAAAAATCTCTCAAATACATCAGATAGAACTGGCCAATAACTTTATGTAAGATTGTCACTAAAAGGTGTTTACAAAAACTGTGACATGTGTTAAGCACCCTCGTTTGATAATGATAACTTTATCCTTTAGAAACCCACAGTTTTTAGACAAATCAATACAATTTCTAAAATAAGTTTGATGAGAAGAAGATACATTAGATTTACAAAAAAAATACAAGTTAAAGATAAAATTTCAATCTTTTAAAAATTGATTGAAATGTAAAGCCATGAGTATTTTGCAAATTTTAAATCACATAACTATTTAAAGTTGAGTACAAGTTTAGGAGGTGACCATTCAGGAAGTGACCATGCCGGAGGTGAGAAAGCTATCATATAGCCAAACACATGTCACAATAATTTTTGTGTAAGAAATTTATGTTGTTAAGAAATATACTCACAACATTATCATCTTTCTCCCAAAGTGGTTCTCTCTCGGCTTCTTTTTGAGCTTGTCCTTCACTACCTCCATCAATTTCAGTACCAAGTTCTAAGGCTCTCTGATTTTTCAAAGCGAGAACTTCTTCCAGGGCTTGTGGAAGGACAACTTCAGGATTTGATTCCAATAATTGTTCAGGTGGATCAACTTTCAATGACAGAAGAGATGGTAGTTGTTTTTCATTCACAGGTGGAGGTTGCATTATTGAAGGTGGCGGACCTAGAGTAGCTGAAAAAATTTACAAAAGTAATAAAATTGGAACTTCCGTATTTGAGAAACACTTTATTGTGAGATTTTCACTAAAGTTTTACAAAAACATAATAATTGTTTCTCTTCACAAGAAGAAGAACTTAATTTCCAGATAGGCAAGCCTAATATAAACATAATTAATGTACTTTATCTAAACATAATATATAAAAATTAAAATAATTTTACCTAACCAAATTATGATAAATGTGTTTGGTAATAAATCAATGAACCTTAACAGAAGAATAGAATAAACCTGTAATATCATTTTATATAAAGTATGTTACAATGAACATCGCCACCAATTATGTGTTCCAAATCAACTTGTTACTCAACTTATCATAGAATACCATGTGGCTCTAGGATATCCCAGAGTTCACAAGACCTGGCTGAGCACAAAGAGGAGACAGCATCAAATAATAACAAATGTTGTCGACAGTTGTGATATATTTGCCAACATGCAAAGCATTTTGTGACGCAAAGTTAAATTGTTTTAAAAAGCAAAGATGATATGATTACTATTATTTTCTATGAAGCACTAATTGGGAATAGTGTTGGAACTGAATATATCTTTGAGCAAACTGTCTTTATGCTGCAATATAATGATTTACAAAATCCCTTATTTCAATACAATTACAACTAAAGCCAAAATTGATGACAATAATTCTGAAGTCAATGATATATTACATATCTTAGATCCACAATTACATATTAAAAAAATATTTCGTGTTAGTGAGAACACTATCACATCCCTTCATTCATTCTAAGAAATAAAATAAATCTCCCCAGAAATTAAGGTCGGTTCAGATTTAAATGTTAATCAGAGAAACTATCTTAAAAATCTTCGACAACAACTCAACAATAGGAAGGGAATACCTACAGGAAATGTCAAAAATTGTTTCTCACACCTCTCAAAGAAATAACTACCAAAATGTTAGTCATTCACTGAAACCTGGCTCTACGAAAATACTCTAAGTTAAATCTACTCATGTCATCAATGACAGTATGTAATGACATTCATTCACTTATTTGACTTAATCCCAGAATCCTAGTCATAGGAATTTTGTTTAAATATACCCCTTTCAATTTAAACAAGATTACTATGCCTGGGATATAATCAAATGAGCAATAGATTGTCATTATGTACTGCAATCGATGACATAAGTAGACTGGGCTCATTTGTGCTGAAGAGGCAATAAGGCAAGTGTATTATTCAGAAACCATACAAGGCGGTCAAATGAACTGAGTCTACCAATTCCAAAAACATGTTTGGTTCAAAACTCGTTGATATATAATGGAATCAGGATATACAATAAACTTCCCAATGAAATCAAAGAGACTCCTTTCATCATATTTAGAAAGAAATGTACAAAACTATTAAGTGATAAAGCCTATTATGACCCACAAGAATATTTTGACGATGCCCTGTAATTTAGAATGTGATGAAACAGTAATTTAAATCTGATTCAATTTTATAATGAATATTTGGAGTACAAACTGAATAGGAAAAAATGTTTTTTGTATAATTCAATCATCATATGAAAGAAGTTGTATCAAGATGACTCTAACTTTCAATTTGTGTCTGAAAGTTATTTTTTTGCATGATCTACACTCTTTGTAGAGAGTTCATTATTAAGTTATTGACTTTTTCCTTTCTTTGGAAGATTTCCACGGCAAAACCTTGCTTTCCCCTTTAAATTCATATCTTAGTTGGTTAATTGTTTTTTTTTTTATTTACTTGTCAGTTTCTAGTGAAAAAGTAGGACAAATTAACGTGAACTATGACTTTTTCCTACTGGAAAATAGGAAAATCAGGATGAGTACGAGGCCTAACTAGTGTGACTGAACACTATGAATTATTAGTTTTAGCAGAATGCCCTTTGCCAAGTTATGTGATCATTATATTTTTGGAATACTTACAGAAATCCTCATTTGTCCATCCTTGTGTTCCAGGTGGGCCAAAGACAGGTGGTGGCCCCATAGCAGGTGGAGGGCCTACAGATGTTGGAGGTCCTACCGGAGTTGTGGGACCCATAGAAGGTGGTGGAATAGACGGCGGTGGAATTGAAGGCGGTGGAATGGAAGGTGGTGGACCCATCGTAGGTGGTGGTCCTAGAGACAGATGAGGCCCCAGTGATGTTGGAGGACCTAGAGATGGTGGAGGACCTAGAGATGGTGGAGGTCCTATAGAAGGCGGAGGACCCATCATATTATCAGGTGGAGGTCCAGTCATCAAAGGCATGTTGTCAGGAGGCGGCATTTGCATCATATCGGAGTTCATAATAATCTGTGGCGGCGGACCTGGAGGCAACTAAAATCACATTCGTTAGTATTTACCGTTTTTTATCGGATTTAACTCACACTTACAGAGTCGCTCATATTGAAAACTATGAATACATCAAATTTTTTGAAACAAATATACAATATCTTCAATAATTCACTTAAAACCAAATTATTAATTCAAATGTATTCGCTCTTGCACATTTATACTGTATTTCCACTTCTTATCTAAAATCTAACACTAACCTTTCTGTTATGGAGCTTTTGTTAAAGCTGTCAGTTTGTTTCTGCTTCTCTTGTCATGTCATGGCCTGAGCTGCCAGGGATATCCAGCCAGACTTCCATCATTGTATGATCCGATAATCTGAAGGTATTCTGATTGGTGCATGTACAATATATTATGTTGATAGGTGACGAGTTTTGTTCTTGCTGATCTTTTTCTATATTTAGTGATTTCCGCCAAAAGTTATTCGCTTTGTCTGTTTAAAGTCTGTTTTTCTGTTAATCAGCTCTACTCGACATATTTAACTTGAGCAGATAGTGTGTAACTTTTGAGAGGACACATATATCTGAAATACATTATTGTGAAATATTTTGATTTCAGTCTACTAGGTTAACAAAAAAGCAAATGTGTTTACTCACCATAATATTGTTACAAAATCTCTAACGCCGCAGCGGACTACAGTCACCCAATTCGACGAAGGGACCTCTACCTGAGCATGACGTCACACGCGCGTTGCCTCCCTAGGCGGTAACTGGAAAAGTCACGAAAAGAATTCAAACGTCGATCCTGAGAGCGAAACATCGCGATGGATATGGAATTTCTAGAAATTCTAGATGCATCGATCTTACTATAAAAGAGCGAGTTCCTTCGGCAGAGTAGAGTAGTAGTAAGAGAGTGTTCGAAGTCTCAAGCAAGCGAGTATTCTAAGTGAATTATAATCAGTGCAGTAGTTGTGTATTAAGTAAATAAAAGTTGTCTAAGTATTATTAGTGTTGTTGTTTTAAAAAACGAACCCCATATAAATATCGTAACAGTGGTGTCGGAAGTGGAATTTTACTGATAAATAAAAACAATAAATTGACATTTTAGTGAAAATTATAAGGCATTTATGGTGAATACGAGAAGTACATCGTACGATACGATGGAGGACCTGTTGCAATTTATTCAAAACCAATTTGCGGATGCGGAAAGACGACGACATGAGGAAAAAGAAGTCGAGAAAAAGCGACGACAGGAGGAAAAAGAAGTCGAGGAAAAGCGACGACAGGAAGAGGAAAGACGACGGCAGGAGGAAAAAGGATTAGAAAAGAAAAAACGAGAAGAGGCGCTCCAAAAAATTCTCGAAGAACAGAGAAGATCTCCAGAACATTCTAGAAAAACAAAAGAATGAATTAGAATAGAAAAACAACGGAAAGCAGATTTCCAGAATGTTCGAGAACACCAAGACAAGTTCTTCCAGCACATGCTTCATAAAACCAAAATACGAATGGAAGAACTAAAAGAAAATTTAAAAGGAGAACTGAAGGAAAGCGTCATGAAAATCGACGACGAGGTTAAAAGAGAAGTGCATACAGTATGAGAGGAGATGATAGGACTAGAAAAGAGAGTCGAAAAACAAATAGCGCTTCTCAAAAATCAAGATCGCCGAGACAGGGTTGCCACATCTACAATTTCCGTAAAACCACCAACTTTTAATGGACAGTCGTCTTGGTCCATGTACTGCCGCCAATTCGAGACTGCGGCAACGACGAATGGATGGGGTGAAGAAGAGAAAGCTACAGCACTTATCGTAGCTCTGAGAGGGCCAGCCTTGGGTATGTTGCAAACGATACCCAACGAACAACAGAGTAAATACGAGGAACTGATATCTGCACTAGAGTTACGGTATGGCGATCAACACAGATAACAGCTGTATCGGGCCCAAATGAAAACGCGCACACAAAAATCAAGTGAGAGTCTTCAAGAATTCGAAGCCGATGTGAGACGCCTGATTCAGCTGGCTTATCCAGAAGCACTTGGAGATTTCAAGGAACATCTAGCGGTGGAGTTATTTGTAGATGGTTTAAGAGACCTATAGAGACCCAGAAATCCAAAGAACTTTGCGATTGATATACTTTAAGAGGAGTAGCGACGCCTTGGTACGTTCGTTAGAAGTAGAGGCGACCTTCAATTTCATGCTTCGAATAGTCACTGGTGAAAACGCACCTATTCGAGGAGAAGCTGAAATAACACTGATTCTTGGACGACTCACCATTATTGATACAGTGTACGTTGCAGACATAGAAGATGAATTCATACTAGGAATGGATTTGATCAGTGAGTGTGGCTTTTCATTCGACAACGAAGAGAAGATTATGAAGTTTGGTGGAGAGGAATTTGTCCTTACCACTCCAGCAGAAAGGACAATACCTGTGAAACTGCGCTTAGTGAATACTGCGAGAATTCCTGGTTTTTCGGAGAAAGTAGTTTACGCTATCGCTGATGAAGACACCGGTAGCTATGTTGGAATAGTCCAGTCATGTGATGAATACCCCAGCAAATTAGTTTTTGCACGAGCCTTAGTAAAAACGAAACAAACCATCCCTGTGAGAGTTGCCAATGTATATCCTGAAGCAGTAACCGTTAAAGAAGGTGATGTCATAGGAACCTGTGAACCAGTCACATGGGTGGCGAACTGTGATTCAAACGACCACCAGGAAATAAAGGCAGCCTCTAAAAGTGTTATGATAACTCTTGAAAAATCACTTAAACACTTATCAGGAGAATAACTTAAAACCGGCAAAAACTTCATAAAGAACGAAAGTGATATATTTGATTCGACAATATTCGGAAGAACTAACTTGGTTAAACACAGAATTGATACTGGCCAAGCCCACCCGATTCGACAACCCTCAAGGAGAGTTCCGTTTGCCAAACAGCAAGAGGTGGAAGAGCTTGTTGGCAAGATGATGAGAGATGGTGTGATTGGTCTCCAAGAAGGATGGATCTACAAGATTCTGTGTAGATTACAGGAAATTGAACGATGTTACTAAGAAAGATAGCTACCCTTTACCAAGAATAGACGACACATTAACAACTTTGGCAGCTTCACGTTGGTTCTCAACACTAGACCTGAACAGTGGATATTGGCAAGTAGGCATACATGAGGATGATAAAGAGAAGACAGCATTTTCGACTGGGAGCGGACTTTACCAGTTCACCGTTATGCCGTTTGGATTGTGCAATGCTCCAGCCATATTCGAAAGACTGATGGAGCTGGTCCTGCGAGGGCTTACTTGGAAAACTTGCCTCGTATACCTCGACGACGTTTGGGTCATGGGAAAGATATTTGAAGAACATCTGTATAATTTGCGAGAAGTCTTTCAACGATTCAGGAATGCCAACCTCTAACTGAATCTTCAGAAATGCTCACTGCCAGAAAGAAGTGGATTTTCTAGGTCACAGAGTGTCATCAGACGGCATCCAAACAGACGAAAGAAAGATACAGGCAATCAGAAACTGGCCGAGACCTAAAGATAAACATGAAGTGAGGAGCTTCCTAGATCTCTGCACCTACTATCGTCGGTTCGTGGAAGGATTTGCAGATAATGCGGCACCTCTTCATAAGTTGACAGAAGACCGAGTCAAATTCGTCCGGTCCAACGAAAGTGAACGAGCATTTGGGAAACTGAAAGTTGCTCTATGTTCCAGCCCCATTTTAAGTTTCCCACGTCGACGAGGCCTGTTCGTCCTGGACACAGATGCCAGTAATAATAGTATAGGAGCCGTACTATCACAAGAACAGGGCGATCAGGAAAAAGTAATTGAGTTCTTCAGCAAAGTACTGACCAAGCCAGAAAGGAATTGTTGCGTAACCAGAAAGGAACTACTGGTAATAATCAAGGCTGTAGATCACTTCCACAAATATCTGTATGGAAGAGAGTTCCTTATCAGAACAGATCATGCAGCTCTGAAGTGGTTACTTGAAATGAAGACTCCTAAAGGACAAGTAGCAAGGTGGATTGAGAAGCTGAACCAGTATCACTTCAAGATAAAACATCGACCAGGACGACTGCATAATAACGCAGATGCCTTGTCCAGAAGACCTTGTTCGGATGTTTGTAAACACTGTGAGCGAATTGAACGACGCGAAGGAATCAACCAAGTGAGATTGATGGCACACGATAATTGGACCACAGCAAAAATGAGACAAGATCAAGAGGGTGATCCAAACGTTGCAGAATTTTTAAAATGGAAGGAAAGTGGAGCAGAAAGACCCACCTGGAAGGACATCTCTGATCGATCACCAACGTTCAAGGCATTGTGGGCACAATGGGATTCCTTGATTGTTGAGAATGGTCTACTGAAGAGGGCTTGGGAATCGGCCGATGGCAAGAAAGTGATTTTCCAACTGGTTGTGCCTATGTCAAGAATAAGTGGCGTCTTGGAAGAGATCCATGGTGGTAAATCGGGAGGACATCTAGGAGTTAACAAGACCTTGGATAAAATACGACAAAGGTTTTACTGGGTTCAGTGTCAAGAAGATGTAGAGCGATGGTGCCGAAGATGCCCAAGATGCGAAGCCAGCAAAGGTCCAAGAACAAGATCCAAAGGTGAGATGAAATAATACAACGTTGGTGCTCCCTTCGAACGGATCGCCATCGATGTAGCCGGACCATTTCCGATGACGAATGATGGCAACAAATACATCCTAGTTGCCATGGACTACTTCAGTAAAAGGGTTGAAGCTTACGCCTTGCCTAATCAAGAAGCATCCACAGTTGCAAGAGCTCTGGTGGATAACATGTTGGCAAGGTTTGGTATGCCAATGGAGTTACATTCCGATCAAGGAAGAAATTTTGAGTCGAATTTATTCAAGAAAGTCTGTGAATTGATGGGAATTAACAAGACCAGAACAACTGCACTCCACTCACAGTCTGATGGCATGGTCGAGAGGTTCAACAGGACTATGGAAGAACATCTTTCCAGAGTAGTAGAAGAGCATCAAAAAGACTGGGATCGACATCTTCAACTATTCTTGATGGCCTACCGAGCAGCCGTGCACGATTCCACAAAGCTCACCCCAGCCAGCATCATATTCGGAAGAGATCTTCGCTTGCCCTGTGACTTGGTGTTCGGATCACCAATTGCTGAAAATAAAGAGGTGCAAGATTACGCAGACGAACTGCGAGATAGCTTGACAAGGATCCATGAAATTGCTAGAAGAAGATTAAAGATGACTAGTGACAGGATGATGGCTCGATACGATCTCAAGTCAAATACTGGTGGATTCAAAGAAGGAGATCGAGTGTGGCTTACAACCCTCGTCGTAGAAAAGGAATTTCCCCCAAATTAACACCATCTTGGAAGGGACCCTACACGATAGTGAAGAGAATAAATAACATGGTGTATAGGATTCAACGTAGCCCGAGAGCAAAAATGAAGGTCGTTCACCTAGAAAGACTCAAACGATACAATGGGGACAATGACATATTGTTTGATCGAGACGATCAAATTTGAGAGGGGGATAATGTTACAAAATCCCTAACGTCGCAGCTGACTACAGTCACCCAATTCGACGAAGTGACCTCTATCTGAGCATGACGTCACACGCGCGTTGCCTCCCTAGGCGGTAACTGGAAAAGTCTCGAAAAGAATTCCAACGTCGATCCTGAGAGCGAAACATCGCGATGGATATGGAATTTCTAGAAATTCTAGATGCATCGATCTTACTATAAAAGAGCGAGTTCCTTCGGCATAGTAGAGTAGTAGTAAGAGAGGGTTCGAAGTCTCAAGCAAGCGAGTATTCTAAGTGAATTATAATCAGTGCAGTAGTTAAAAAAAAGTCTAAGTATTATTGGTGTTGTTGTTTTAAAAAACGAACCCCAAGTAAATATCGTAACAATATAAATATTTCCATTCCAATATTCATATAAAAATGAAATTTGTTTCAATGCATACAAACCAGGAGACATGAATAAACACTGTTGATTAATTGCCAATGGAAAAAAGTATTTAATTTCATTATAGAATAATGTTGGTCAGGAAATAAGGAATTCAAAGGCTCCAAGGTCAAAATGTCCTGGAGTGATGGCGGAGAGGTCATTGGGTTCGGTACTAACAGGACAAAGGTGTTTTGAATCAAGAAGGGCCTTGATTCAAACAAGCTTACTGTTGAATTCGTCATATGTGAAAATTTGATCACCAATTACTTGAGAAATATGAGTTTTCATTGATTCAATTTCAGCTTCTCACAATCCGCTAAAATAGGGACTAGAAGGTGAAATAATTTCAATGGTATATATTCCTGGTCTGCAGCGTTTTGCATACAATCAAAAATATACCGAGCAGTGCCTTCAATATCGATTGCGTTATCACTATGAATGCAGGACTGTGATCATGAATCCACAACCACTCAAACTGTATTCTCTAATTGAATTACATAAAACCAATTTCCCAATTACACCTGATGTAGTGTCGTTTATAACAGCTTCAACTGTAAAAATCTCAGAAATGCTCAGACCTCTGACTTTATGCCTCCAACTGTCAACTACGAACTGCCTTATAAAGTACTATTCCCGAGTAGAGAGGACTGGATCCTGCGGGAGAAGGAAATATTAAGAAAAGATAGTTGTTGGTTCACAGATGGATCAAAAACACCTTCCGGTTCTGGTGCAGGTGTTTTCAGTCGCAGACTTAGGACAGAGTAATAATCTACCAGCTTAGGAAATTATGCGATTGTATTACAAGCGGAAATTTACGCTATTGTATTGTGTGCGGAGAGATTGGATAAATCCAACCTCAGTCAATAAAAATATTCTCGGACAGTCAAGCGGTTTTGGAAGCTCTTGGCTCTTACCGAGCAACGTCTAAATTGGTAGCAAACTGTCAAAAAAAGACTCTCCTCGAAAGGAAGACTTAACAGATTGTCTCTGATCTGGATTTCTGGCCATACTGGCCTGGAAGGCAATGAAACTGCTGACTCTCTTGCAAAGGAGGGTGCTGCAAGCGGCTTCATTGGACCAGAACCTGTCATTGGCATCGCTTTGGGCTTTGCCAAACCAACATTGAACACCTGGATGGCAAAAAGATTTATGGACTCCTGGCAGAATCTTCCAGGATTGCCTCACTCCGAGGCGTTTATTCACCCTTAGAAAATTGATTCCAAACAGTTGTTGGACTACAGTAGGGATGATCTACGATGTCTAACAGGCCTTCTTACAGGTCACCGTCATTTGAATCATCACATGCAGAGACTTGGACTGACGGAAGACAGTGTATGTTGCCTCTGTCTGGAAAATGATGAAACTGCAGAGCATATACTTTGTGCCTGCCCCGCTGGGGACCAAATCAGGTTCTTTGAGTTCGGCAGATCCGTACTCTCAATATCTGACCTGAAAAACTACTCACCATACAAACTAATCTGCTTCGTTAAGAAGCTGGGTTTATTATTTGGCCGAGTGTGAATAGGTGTGAGCCACAATAAATCCTTATGGGTTGCGGTGGAGGGTCGAATTGACCCACTCACTTTAGACCTACCTATCTACCTACCTCCGTTAAAAGATGAACAATCTTTTTATCCATCCCACCCCAGCCAGGTAGGGATACACCGCGAAGGGCAGCACTGATGTCTGAGGACACTCATGCCGTCATCTCATCATCACCTCCATCAGTTATGACCCATTTGACCCTCTGACAAACATCAGTCAAAAGGGTAAGGGAGCCAAGCTCCAACCTGTCCAAAATCAAGATGGCTGTTACGTTGCCATTTTTATTCGCCAAAACAAGTTTCAAGCATAAAAATAAAGGACCTAGAAAACAATAGTCCAGAAGAAATAGTCAAAAGTGATACGAAGATGATTTTTGTCTAAATAATTGATGTTTCCGGTAAAAAAAATTTCAACCCCCAGGAATGAATTTCGACCAGATTTAATATTTTCGAAAAGTTTTCAATCCCCTCGTTCGTGTATGAATAAACAATTTCGCGTTTCTCACAATATTGAAAATATACGTTACAGGTCGGCAAAAATTCTTGTAGGTCAGGCTTCGCAGATGAGATTCTCGACCAGGTTAATCATGAAAAATTTTACATTGCGCAAAATTGAAAATAAACTTTGCAGATAGCCAGAAATCATTGCAGGTTGGGCCTCCCAGATAAGAATCTAAAACCGAGTTATTTATTTTCCACAATAAAGGTCCAATCCTATCCATCGGGTTGGAAAAAAATTAAGATTTTTATGAGATTGAAAATAAACCTTTCAAGTCGGCTGAAATTCTTGCAGTTCCGGTCTTTCAGATATGAATCTTGAAAATGATTAATCTAGTAGAGATTCTCATCTGGGAAGTCTGACCTGCAAGAATTTCTGTCAACATGCATGGTTTATAGCGAGCCACCCCGGTTCCGCACGGGTGCAATGCTGATACTAATTGTACATATAAACGCGTGCAATCGCTGCTAATCATAAAGTGCTATAGGGCGAAGCGCCCCACCCCACCTATGCGTCCGCCTATTGGGTCGAGTGCTCTGAGGTGAAATCTGTGTGCAGAACATCCCATCTCGTTTATCCACCCCCGCTCCTCCAGAGCGGTCCTCAACTTACTGACGGGCACTTCAGCAAGATTGACATCTGACCTTCTTTGGTCGAAAGTCACTCTCTAGGTGCTTTTACTTCCTGATCTGGCCTTCGAAGCGCTATTTATAGGGCTATCCCTGAGAGGTATATATATACCATTATCGCGGACATTTTTGTAAACCTTTTTGAGGTGTTCAATACTCTAGTAAATTATTTTGATCTATCGCGTAGGGTTCAGCCAGCGTTTGCAATGTAACCGCAAAAAGGGTTTATTTACGACACCACATCACGACACCACATGAAATTATCAGTGTTTCTCTACTTTATATCTACTATATTATGCATGTTATATACATATAAACCTTCCTCTTTATTCTCTCGATCTATTAAAAAACCCGCGTAAAAATCCGTTGCGTAGTTTTAAAGGATACATAGGGACAGACAGCGGGAAGCGACTTTTATACTATGTAGTGATTTCATGAGAAATGTGAAATTTTTATCGGTGCGAAAGATGGGGATAGATATTCCTTTCTGGAAAGCCCGACCTGCTAAAATTCCTAGCGACCTGTAAGGTTCATTTCCAATTTTGTGAGAAATCTGGAAAGGATGAAATAATCCAGCAGATTGCGCTTCAATAGGGGTTTTCGTCTCTGAACTTCTTCACAACTCTTTTCGGTGGGCGGGCCCTACTTGGTCATTGGAACCTTCGTCATCTTGGCCTCCTGAATATTTCAACACTTCTATGACTCACGATTGCTTGCAAGAAGGAGAAAATGTTCCTGGTTATTCAGGCAAAGAGTTTCGTATTGGAAATGCTCATAGAAAAATTATCTACATTCTCTTAAATTCAGAATGTGGTTTCCGATGTCCAGCGATTCATCAATAATTCCACCTCGTGCGAAGGAGGGTTTCGCAAGTTGGTCACAACTGGAGGAAAGCACATTAACATCGGGGTCTGAATATTGCAAATCGATACAAAATAAAATATTTTCAGAAAAGATCAAGGTAAAAAGAGTAATAATAATGAATCATAATCAAATTCAAATGACAGGTAATGACGAAACAAATGAAAATGTATTATAATTGAATACATTCACTTGGAAGTAACGCCATTGCATGTAACAATTCTAAATTGGTGCTTGACTGAAGGCTGATTTATTGGAAAGGACTTTTTACACACCATAACAACTCTGTCGACGACAATTTAACTTCCTTGCAACGCACCGCCACCTTGCGACAATGGTTACTTCGAATGTGGCCAACACATCAAATGAACAGGTACCAATAATATAATAAAAAAAAAACAATGAAACCAAATTTTATTTATAAAGGCGGGATTATTTCATTCAAAGGAAAGTAGAGGTTATGTATGGTTATATTCCCAGTTTATTGTTTATGGCTATAATTGATTTTATAACTTTTGAAAAATAATATTCAAGTGTCTTGTATAACGTGCTCAAAAATGGTGTTTCAAAATACGGGTAAATATAGAGCCGAAAAAGCTGAAAAGTCTGAAACAACTACTGGCGATTTTTCTGTTAATAGGTAAATTATGTTTCCATTCTCCTTCCAAAATATTTTGAAAATGATATTCAGTGTCAGATCAAGGGCGCCCTTACAATATTTTTTGGGGTTATCAAAAATTTTTCAAAACAGTCCCCCAGAGATGCAACGTGGGAACTTCTTAAAAAAATTAATTCCAATTTTGAAAATTTGTTGTCAGAGTATTGGGTTCTGATGTTAAAATTCGTGCTTGAAACGGACGTGTATCCTCATACATTAAATTATACAATGCTGAATGATGACTTCTTGAATAAATTTATTCTGGCCAAACTTTCTTACCTTAATACCTACAGTAGTATTTATAATAATAATAATGCTTTTATTGCAAAACAATCATCACAGGACACAGCAAACGTCAGGTACAGGTTTAAAAAAGCAAGTCAAAATACAGTGAAGGCACTGTCAAGATGTCTAGTTTAGAAAAGTTTGTCCTACATGAAGTATTACGACTCAATCCTAATATACATCTCATAATTTTCTTTTGTGTTATGAATATTCTTCGTGAGCTTGATGAAGAGCCCCAAAATATGATTCCATAGGAAATAATTGACTGAACATGAGCATAGTAATATGTTCGCAAACAGCTGACTGATACTTGGTTCCGTAGATATCGTATAACTCCACAGATGGAGTTCAGCCTACTATTCAAGATGTTTATGTGTGAATCCCAGCTGAGGGTTGGATCTAGTGTAACGCCCAGAAATTTTATATGATCTGATATTGGAATCGATTTTCAGTTAAGTTTCACAAGTGGGGATTCTTCAAAGTTATTTCTTTTACTGAATGTTATTAGTCCCGTTTTTCCAACATTCAACTTAAGCGTGTTTTTTTCACACCACATTCTCATGCTTTGTGCGACAGTTGAAGCTTTTGTTGAGAGCTCCAACATATTATTTCCTATAACAACAACCGATGTGTCATCAGCAAACTGATATATACTACCAAGTTTCAATGCATGAGACATTTCATTCACATATAATAAGAAGAGTAGGGGTCCAAGAATTGACCCTTGGGGAACACCTTGCATGATATTAGCTTTGCTAGACAGGTATTCATCCTGTTCATCCATGATAGCAACAACTTGCGAACGATCTGATAGATAAGACTCAATGAGCTTATGACTTATTTGAGTTGGCTCTTAAAACGATAATGAATTTTGGAAAGTTCAGAAATCCGTTGCCCTAAAATTTGTTCCTCTCATTTTGTGAGAGTTGGCTGCAGACTCATGATGCACTCTATGGGATAGTTTCTCTTTACTTTATATAATAAAGTCATTCGGGGAACATTAAATTCTCCTGCAGCTGCAGTACCTGATACTCCTCGCTCGACTGCCTTCAAGGACTCAACCAACTGCTCTTGATTGTAATGTTTTCTTGAAGCCATACTGATATGAGTGAACATTGAAAACAATTATTCCAGTAATCAACATATGAATTCCTGAAATTTATACTTCCTGTTCAACACTGGTAAATATAACTTTTCAGAATCTACTGGCAACACTCTCATGATGTGAAGAATTAGAGGTAAATATTCCCTTCAATAACATCATAAAACCAGTCATTGACAGTAGTATCAATAGATTCAACAGCAACTGCAGTGATCCAATAATTGCTATCATCCTTGTTAACCTTCAAGAATGTCCTATGGCTCATCTTGATATAGTGAAGAATCATCAATCTTTCTTAATGATCCCAATACAAAAACTATCGTAATAAATAAAATAGAATTCTAAATTTTTTCGAGTAACACTTATCATCAATTCTGTTGTAAGTTTGCACAACTTGTCTCTAGACAAATCACTTCATGAAATGGAAACGGTGTCACATTGCAGAACAAGAATTGAGCCAATGTTGACAAATGGTGTGGGAAAATAGAAAAGTATGGAAATTGTAATCGAATGCGAATCTTTTCTTTATTTTGGCTGATAAGCTCATGGGTGTAAATTATATGTCAAGTGTCAATAACTGGTAACTTTAACTTGGCAGTGGTTCGCTCACATTTTTTTTCGTTTGTTGAAAGCTTACAAAGTAAGCACCATTTTGAATCACAAGAAATGAAATACTTTTCTCCAAATTTTCGGAAACTTTCACGAGAAAATTTCCTCTCGAAATCATTGATGTGTATCAGAAAATTCAAGTGAAAGTGTACTGTTAGATATAAATAGATACCAGTTTTAGAGTTAGCAATTAGTTTCTTCATCTCTTGAACATGCCATACAGCTCATGCCACATTGGATATTTTGCACGAGCAATTTGAGGGCATGGTCATCTCACATGAAGGTGATGTGAACTGGCCACCGAGATCGTGTGATTTGACCCCGTTAGACTTTTCATTATGGGGTTTTCTTGTGTCGTAGGTGTATGCGAACAAGCCACAAACCACAGCGGTCCTCATAGCCAACATAACCCATGCCATGCATCGATCAAATTCAGCCTGATTTATGCGCCAGAGTCATGGAAAATTAAATGTTTCGGATGCTCTCCATCCAGAGAAGCCATTATAGACATTTGAACGATGTTATATTCCACACATAATGGCATCAATTGGTCTTTTAAAGAATAAAAACTTTCGATGGTATCTCACACGCACTTTGTTTTATTTAAATTTACAGATAGGAAGCACTTAATGAAAGATCCTATATATTTTCATCTTTATTTCAAATATGTTAACACTTTTGACAATGGAAGTCCGAACATGAAACGTACACCATTCACTTTGTCAATCACATTCAAACCAAAGTATATAAGTATTCTCTTCAGTGTTGATAGAACTTAAATTTTGGATGAAGATCAACCAGTTTAATTTTTTTTCAAATACTTCTTACCATAACCTAAACTATGGTTCTAAATTTGACACAATGACTCCAAATTTTTTATACCACCTAGTAACATGAATAATGATAGGATCTATATATTTAAGTATAGTACTACACAGTCCGATTGTTACATATGTATATGTTTGACTTGTTGAGTTTGTTGACAACTCTGAAAAATATGAAATGTACTGGGAAAGTAAATGATTCTAGAGCATATTTGCACTCCACTTTCAGCAATTTTCTAGCAATTAATTTGGTCATATCCAGTCTCAACTTTTAAACAAAGCTTATAAGAAATGAAGAAAGTGTCTCAAAATTGGCTCAGCATCTAGTCCACCTCTTCATTAACAATCCTCAGTACCACTTTCCTCTCCCCACTCTTATGTAATTCACTGCAGAGTATGTGTCTCCCCCATGGGTGTCTTTCTCTGAATAAAAAATGATCAATGTGTTTAAGGATATCTACAGAGTATTATTATTTCAGAGAGGAAAGTTCCGAATTTCGATTGAGACAGGTTATCGAAAATGAAAATATAGACCTCAAATATGGTTTTGAACGCCTCAAGGACCATCAAGAACGGACTGGCTTTCTCTTGAACATGCATTCGGTATTATACTAATTTCCAAATCTTAAATTCTAAAGCATTTTATTAACTAATTCAAATGTTATTTATAGACTGAAATAGTTGACGAAGACAAAAAATTGTGTTCTGCTGTGGATTATTACTTTATGGAAGAAGATGGAACACGGTTCAAAATTGCTTATCCATTCATGCCTTATTTTTATGTTCTAACCAAGAGAGAGTTGTTGCAAGAAGTAATGCAGTTTTTGTCAAAAAAATATGCTGGCACAATAGCGGAAATGGAGATAATTACAAAAGAAGACTTAGATTTAGTAATTATTTATTTTCATGTATAATCATTCTTTTTATTTCTGACAAGAGTATTCTTCTACTCACCAGAACTGTGAAAAACACTAATCTCCATACAAGTTTGGGATCACTAGAAGATGATCGTAAGTTCCACTCGATTTCAACGAAACAGTTACATCACTTTAATGAGAACATATTTTATAAAAAAAGTAATAATAGTTGGGGATAGGGCCCTTATCGGTTTTTGTAATTTTCTGCCAAGATTTAGGGTTTTCAGGTTATTAGAAACTTCAAGAAGTCCAGAAGTACCTTTATGAAAATGAGAACTGGAACCTGTGCTCCCAAACACCGGAACTGCGATACTCTTCTCGACGCGTGTTTTACCAACCAAGTTGGCTTCTTCAGAAGTAGACTACTTGGCTGATGAAAGCGTGTGAAAAAGAGTGTTGCATTTCTGATGTTTGGGAGCAGTGTTTGTTTTGGAGTACTTTCATTGTACCAAAAACAAATCATACATTTAATTTAGGTTCATTCACTTTAACAGTACAGCTACCGGACTGAATCATGGCCAGTGGGAGAAATCGTATCTGTTTGTCTTAAAAATAAAATATGTGAATGTCCACCATAAAACTACAGGTTACGAAATCTTCATTTCCAACAGTTCTAGAAAGTTTATTAGAGCTATTAATTTGCCATCATGGTTTTTATTAAATGTTTCATAAATAAGCAAAAATTAAAAAGTATTATATTGTCCTCTCGCTTAAAATATAAAAACTATATGCAAAATATATTCCAATACATTTCCGTTAACTTCCAAGCATTTATTAACTTTCTTCATCAACTTGTGATGCACTGTTTGGAACCTTTGGTGTAGTAATGAATATTACTGGAGTTTTTTCCCAACACCAAACCGTTATTTCAACACCTCGACACGTGTTTCAATCACCAAGTGATCATCTTCAAGAGGAAGATACCAACCTGATTGCTTAAACGTGCCTTAAGCGTTGTGTTTTCACAGTTTTTGTGTCTAATAAAAGTAATTTTGTTAGATTCATTCCAGACATTCCAGTTTTACTACTTTTTTATATTCATCTTTTTTTATTTTTAGCCAAATCACTTGATTGGTTTGAAACAGAAATATATAAAGCTATCCTTTTTCAACCAAACAGATATGATAAAAGTCCGCAAGGAAATACTGAAAGTTGTTAGAAAAAATAGGCTGAAACAGAACGACAATGCTTATTATACAGAAATGTTAACGAGTACCTTGGGCAACAATACGAATGAAGTCAGTCATTTTAATAAAGGAAATACAGATCAGATGGAAAATATTATGGACATCAGGTTTGTTATGTCATATGAAAAATATTCATCTTGAAAATTTTAATATTTTAGAGAATATGATGTGCCTTATCATGTAAGAGTATCAATAGATCTCAGATTATTTTGTGGGTCTTGGTACACAGTAAAGTGCAGAGGAAGGGATGATCCACCAACAATTTCACTGAGGAGTGATATTATTGAGCGTCCTGAACCTATTGTACTAGCTTTCGATATTGAAACTACAAAATTACCGTTGAAGTTCCCAGATTCAGCTACTGACCAAATTATGATGATTTCCTATATGATTGATGGTCAAGGTTAGTAGGAGAATTTCTGTAAATGTGATCCAATTAAGTGTGAAGAAACTGTTTTCAACTGCAATGAATTAGTTTCATGTGTATTGGTTTTGAAAGACTCTTGAAAAGGTTGATGTGCAATATCATGTCTACAAATTTTTTTAAATAACTTCATACCAAATGATTCACATGTAAAAATGATGTAATCATATATTTTTATGAAATGTTACCCTAAATATGTTTTTTAAATATGTTTCGTGCATAGGTTTTGCAGATGAAAAACGAAACCAATACATTTGTCGCAAATAAATCATTGAACGCATTTTAAAGTTATCAAATTATATAGATATTCAAGTTTTCTGCCATCCTCTCGTTCCTCTTTCCACACAGAGTTCTCAACTATTAGGTTGTTTCAAAATTTTTGTCCGCTTTAATGTCATGTGCTTTTTGTAGCTCCATGTACAATGTACAAATAGGGACACGTCAAACTGACAAACAAGAATAACAATAATTGAACAATAGTTGTGGCTATACACGCTGATTACATCTAAAATAGTTATTTTCGGAAATAAAAAATAAATACACATTTAACATATTAAAAGATAAATGTCTCACAATTCAAATATTCGTCAATGGAGTAGAAACAGTGCTTTAATAGTGAGTGCTTAACTCTAGCCTTGAAACGGTTATAACTCAAACCGGTAAAGTTTGTTGGTATTTTACTGTATAAATTTAAGTTGAGGGTAGAATTTTGAGTTTTTGAAATAGAGGACGACAGTGTTTGTTCTCTGTAAGAAACATTGGCTATGATCCGGATTGCTTTTTTTGCATTAAAGTATGCCATATGTTAGGTGGCTGTTAAAAAGAAAAAAAAGTATGTCTGTTATACCATACTTTGACTAAGACACATTTTCAGCCGTATTAGTAGGAACAGTTGTGTAGGAAGTTTTTTGCACAGACCAGCAACATGTGCTTCCCAATTTAACATGTCATCAATCTTAAACCCTAATAAATCTACATGGTGCTTTTTCGTTAGTTGTCTATTTGATGATATTATAATTTTCTGTGTCGTATCCCTGTTTAGTTTGAGATAATTTGAAGTAAACCAAGTTTCAGCATCATTATCTGTTCTAGAACATAGGTCCATTAAGTCATTAACATTTGAGTCTGCTTCTACCGTTTGTGTTTCATTCGATTGTGTTGTGCTATATACTGATCAATAGAGAATTTAGTACTCCATACATTGATGCTATTCATTTTTTCAAATTTAAATTTTTTGCCTGGCTATTCAAATTCGTTTCTGTACATGGGAATCTCGTAAACGATGAGAGATCGAGTGTCGGTTAAATTGAGGCAAAGTTGCGTATTTTAGAGACCTATTCAATGATGTAAAGAAATCGAATGTAGCTCTTTTGGTTCTGGAGATATACAGGAAAAACCAAAAAATCCCAAATTATTTTTTTGCCTATATCTTCTTTATTCGCAGACATATTGAAAATATGTCCACATTTTGCTATTGGCACTTGATGTGGGCTCTCAGAATATATCCATGAATCTTTTATACAGGGTGTCATCTGACTTGGACCACCCCCATCTTTGAGTTTTTAAATACGGACCTGTAGTTTTTGTTGTAGTTTTTGAATCGTAGACACTCACTTCATACTGGGAAATTAAATTAAATTTTATATTTCGTGATTTTTCGGTAATATTCGATTATAATTGTGTGAATTATTCCCTTTTAAATTACGGCCCTGGAAATTGGTTGACTGAGTTGAATAAAAACACAATAGCAACTTTCACGTCTCCCTATGTACCGTAGAGTTTTTCGAGAGTTTTTTTCATTTTTAGATACCTATTCATATTTTTTCCATTGCTCTGAGCGTTTTCTACAATGAACTTCGAATATAAAAACCTTTTATGATTATCTGAAACATATCTACAACAAAAATATATTATATGTGTTTTGATGAGCAGAAACAAAAATGGTAGCAATAATAACATCCGAAACGAACACTATAATTATAATGAAAATTGAAATGAAGCAAGTAATTTATATACACAAAAAAATGAATTGTGCAATAAATGTTCGAATTGGAGTCCTCCCATTTCGAGACAAATTATGGGACAATAAGATGGTCTGCAGGATCACCAGATCTTACTATTTTGGACTATTTTCTATGGGGGACATTGAAAAATAAGATTTACGCTGGTAGAGAGATAGAAAATGTGGAAGACTCAAGATTGAGGATTTTGAATGATTTCGCAACAATGCAGCAAATAAGTGTATTAAGGGCAATAAATAATATGAAAAACCGAATTTAAAAATGTCTCTTAATGGAAGGACTCCAATTCGAATATTTATTGCGCCAATAATTTTTTTGGGTACCTATACAGAGTGGTCCAACGAAAAGTATGCACCTTGCTTTTCTCCTTTTTTTGTAACTTAACGCAAAAATGCTCGGACAGGTCAATTTTGCTTTTGAGGGGACACATTTTAGATGTATTTTTCTACCTGTGCCTTCAACCCCCTAGCGAGGGTGAGTAACAATCTTAAATGGAAAGTGGGGTCGAGTGATATATCATTTGAAAGGGCACAAAATTATCTTTCCAATGATACCTAATTTGTTTTATTTCACTCAGACATGTAGGTATTATGAAGAAAAACAACTACAACCCAGTACTTTGAAATGTGTGATTGACTTAGTAGAATTCTACTTCAGCAAGTGCTGAAAATGTGACCCATTTGCTTCCATACAATAATACAGATTTTGTTCAAATCTATTCCTTACATTCTGTAGCATATCAGGTGATATACTTCTGCACTCTGCTGTAATTCGTTGGCGAAGATCTTCGGAAAAGCACGTGTTGAATGATAGATGCGGATCATCAATTAATAGCTGGCTCAGTTGTTCACAAAATTGCAGCCTTCTATCAGGATCATCTTCATTGAGTTCCTGTACTAATTTAATTTTGTACGGATGAAATTTATAGGCTTTCAATATCCGTATTATGGACGAACGGGAGACACCTGAGGCTGCAGCAAGCTGACGGGTACTTTGAGTATGATCCCATTCAACATGTCCCAAAACAGCGACTTCCACCGCTTCTTTTCTGATAGGTTTCCGTGGCTGGTGTTTCACTTTACAGACAGATCCGGTATCGACAAACTTTTGGACTAACTTGGCAAGGTACGAATCATTCACATTTTTCCCGGGATGACTGTTATTAAAAAGGCGAGTAGTAAGTCTAGCACAACTATTATGTTGATAATAAAGTTTAACAATTTCAACTCGTTCAGGAATGGAATAAACCATTTTTACAGTAAAGTTGAAATAATTTCAAAAGCAACCGAACTGAATCAATGAACGTTTGCCTAAATTCTTTTTGTACACTTATCTGCTGTTGTTATTTGAACCAAAAAACGCNCCATTATCCTGAGTACTTTTTTTTGTAGGGTAAATATTTTAGCTGAGTGACTCGAGGATCCCCATATTATCAAAGCGTACGTCATTGTTGAATGGAATAATGAAAAATATGATATCCTCAAATATTCTTCCGTTAGTTTGCTTTTCAGCTGTCTTATAATATATGTGGCAGTTGAGAGACGTTTTGAAAGATACTTGATATGATATGAAAAATTCAAGCTGTTGTCAAGGTGTACACCGAGTAATTTTACTGGATCTTCTTCTCTTTGTTCAACCAGTGTAAAGTTGAGATTCAGAGTTTTGTCAGAGTTGAGGGAAAGGTAGTTACTCTTATTCCACATCCGGATGAGTTCATCAGATTCCTAATGACCGACTGTTTGTGTCACAATGTATTATTGATACATCGTCAGCATAACCAAAGGGGTGAATAGAGTATAGTGAGAATATATATATATATATGTATCATACCAGAAAAGCATCCATACAATTTTCACATTGTAAAACATATGAATTGTTATCGGAATTGTCAATTATCTAAAAATTAATATAATAAACAACATACACTATGCACATTAAGGGAGTTACACAGTGAATGAAATAAAAAGTGAATAAAAACAAATATGTCAAGTGTGAGCAGAGACGTAGGAATTACATGTTATATACAGAAATTTACCTGCTGAATTAGGCAGGTGAGTTAAATCTTTTTATATAAATAAACATAAAAATAAAAATTAAGTGTTATAAGTTATTTAGAAATTAGGTAGCTTGTTGAAAAGTTTACATCCATTTTAATAAATACTTTTCTGGTAGAGACTTGTGAAATGCTTTGGTGGAACTAATAACTGTTAGGAGTTTCGTAGATGTGATTAACTTTCTCTGATTCTGAGCAAACTTCATTTGGCTATGATAGTGTTAATGAACGCACTGTTCGACGTTGGTTTGCACAATTTCGTTCCAGAGATTTTAGCCCCGAAAATAAGCCCCGAAGTGGTCGACGTAAAGTAATCCATGACGAGGATTTGAGGACACTGATGAAGACTGACTCATCACAAACGGTGCGTGAAATAGCGGAAGAACTAGGCGTCAGCTCCCATGCGGTTTTTGATAGTTTAATACGTATTGGAAAGGTCGAAAAGTGGATGTCTCACGAATTAAACGAACGACAAAAATTTTAACGTTTCGAGGACTGTTCTTCTTTGTTTTTGCGCAACCAAAATGATCTTTTTTGGATCGGATCGTCATGTGTGATGAAAAGTTTCTCCTCAGTACAGTGGTTGGACACCGATGAACTACTCAGGTACTTCCCAAAGGCGAAAACCCACAAAAAAAAACCGTGGTTACTGCATGATGGCTGGTGTGATTCACTATAACTTTCTGCAACTGGACCAAACCATCACAGTCCTTTTGTGAGGAAATCGACGAAATGTACCAAAAATTGCGTCAGCAGCAGCCGGCACTAGTCAATAGAAGAGATTCGATCCTGCTCCACGACAACGCCCGTCCGTTCTTTTCACAACTTACTGTCAGAAAATTAAACGAATTGAGTGTCGAAGTTCTGTCTCGCTCACCATACTCCCCAGACCTTTCCCCAACCGATTACCATCTTTTAAAGCACTTTGATAACTTTTTCACTGGTAGAATCCTCGCCAATCAGGACCAGACAGAAATGACCTTCATCGACTTTATCGAATTTCGAGCACGCAATTTTTATGGTGACGGAATTAATCGACTTGTGTTACGTTGGTAAAAGTGTACTGATTCAAATGGCGCTTATTTCGGTTAAATGGAATAAGTATTCACTGCGATATGACAGTTAAAAGTGGACTCTTTAAAGTGGCAAAACTTTTGAAACATCCTATTATTGCAGGCGAATGTACCTTCAATACAGTGATGATTCTGTAGCATAATATGAACAACTTTTTCTATTCATTGAAAAGACATATGCCATGTATCAGTTTATTTCAACCTTCATTCATTTATTGTTTAAATTCCACAGATCATGACCCAATCGCAGAGTAGCAAGTATATCAGATGTAGGTTTATACACGCACAACCTGATCTAAACTAAATATTTCATTGAAATCTGCTTATAAAACTTGCAAAAGAAAAATTTCACTCATTTTATTCATAGATTGTAGGCTTCACACATGTGATTCGATTTACCAATTTCCTTTTTGCAGGTTACCTGATTACAAATCGAGAAATTATATCTGCCGATATAGAAGATTTCGAATTCACTCCAAAACCTGAATTCGAAGGTAAATTTACAATATTCAATGAGCCTAATGAAAGGTTCTTGATACAAAAATTTTTTTCCCACATTTTGGAAATTCGTCCTCATGTTTTTGTTACTTATAATGGAGACTTCTTTGATTGGCCTTTCATTGAAGCACGAGCTGCCTGTTATGATTTGGATATGAAACAGGAAATTGGGTTTTTCAAAAATAGAGAGGGTGTTTATTATTGTAGGCCGGCGATGCATATGGACTGTCTCTGCTGGGTGAAGAGAGACTCGTATTTACCTGTTGGATCACAGAATTTGAAAGCTGTAGCAAAAGCTAAGTTGAGGTATACTATACTTCTTTCATTCTGATCTCATAACGATTTAGTGAATTGAATGTGGAAGTTTTTAATTCTACATCATTGATTGAAAATATTAGTTCACTGCCTATCAGGCACCTAGAAGATAATATATCTAATGTAATTTTCCTAAATCATCAAAGTGTAATGATTATTTAGTGTTCGATTTCAAGTGAAACAATTTTTTTCTGTTTTTTCGAGATCCACAATCACTACAGGAACATCCTTCAGACATTTTGAGAATGATGCTTGTGCGAAAGTGGAGATTCCAGTTAGAATTGGAAATTCAGTTTCGAGAAAAGGGTATTTTTGGTTGTATTGAGTTGAATCACGAAACAAAGGGCAGCTGTAGTTTGCTACGAACTTCTGATATATATGGCTCTCTGTGAAACTGATTGATATGATCAGCAGCAAAGCTTCATACATTTGAGCACAATTAAAATAATCAGTTTGAAATTTGTTTTTCCTATCAATCCACCCTAACAAACGATAACCCTCAGAAGTCGAAACTTGGGCGAGCTAAGGATTAACGAGTTGTTTGAAGCACATTGATGGTACCAAAAAACTAAAGACGACGTTTATTTTATAAATTTTTATTATCAGTTTTTGAAATAATCCATCATTTTGATTTGTTTTAATTGATTATCGAAAATGTTTTGCATTTTAAGTTTCATTTCCTGCATGAATTCTCGAATAACATCGGAATTGATTTCTTTGTCAAAAGCGACAAGAGTTGGTTGAAACTGTTCATCAATGCCAATGAACTCTATTTCAACTCTTGTCTGTAGCCAACTGATCAGCTAGCTCAGCTAAAGGTATGTTATCTTCATCTATTGGAGATGGCACCATTATAGCAATCAATCAATCTCACCTGGTGGATACAGAAAGAACTTGGAATCCTGTATGGCGATAGTGATTTGTTTGATCTTTTCCCAAGCTTTTGATATTAAAATTGCCTTCAAAACGCTAGGATTTTTTGTATTTTCACTGTTTTCAAGGTTTTGAAGCATTTGCAGTACTTGAAATATTTTTTTGTTGTGTTTCAAGAGCTTTTATCACCCTTTGGTCCATAGGTTGTTATACAGAGGTGTCATTGAGTGGTGAAGATTCAAGTTTCATGCATTTTAGATTGGGGATTACCGGATGAGCAGGGCAGTCGTTAACTAGGAGGGGAATTATAATATGTCTTGATTTCAAGTCTGCATCCCATTTTCGAAGCCATTTTTCAAAAATATGCGATGTCATCTCGAACTTAGTTTTGTATTCATATGTAACAAGCAGTGAGCGGTTTTGTAGCTTCCCTGATCACTTAAAGTTTTTCTTCAGTTATATTTGCAGGAACTAACACCGTAATTCTTATTTTAGACATATTTCTACTCTTACCCTGCTCACCTTTAAATTTAAGTATAGTCAGGAGTCAAATTAAAGAACAATCCAGTTCCATCTGCATGGAACTTTTGCATATTGTAAGCTACTTATGAGATAACCTTTCTTCTGTCACACCTTCAGAAACGCCAACATCTTCACCACAAACTCTTCTAGCCACAATATTATGACAAGCACAGAAACATTACCCAAGATGATGACAATACAAAATTTTCTTTTCCCATATCACGAACGAAGTAATCAACTATTTGATGAAGAATCAGAACACTTATTGGCTCTTTCTGTTCTCCCATATTTAAACTATGTTAATACGGCCTTTTCTTGCACTTCATGTTTAGACGTCCTAAATCGCTTATTTTACTAAGGAGTGTTTCTGAAGTGGGCTTTTTGTCCTTATTCTTCCAAATCAGTGATATTGTAGAATGTGAAACGCAACATTCCTATGCAATATCCCCAATTAGTTTACCATTTTCTAATCGCTATATGAGATTTTTTTTCAATATTGAACACTTTTCTTTTTTTTTGCGACATGATGACGTAAAAAAGCGTGATCTAAATCAAATCACAATGCACATGTAACCTGAAACCTATCACTTGATATGCATACTAACTCTATGAACAATGTATTAGTTCAAGGTGAAATACCTGGCGGCGAGGTGGGCGAGTTCAGTCGTTATAACCGATCTGATGTTGTAACAGATGGTGTTGTATCCGGTTTCAAATGTATTAACCATCTTGACATCCGACGAATTATGCGACGAAACTAGCCCCTGACGATTACATATCTGATTCTGCCATATTTACTATCGGATTTCATTACCATTGAATTATATTTGGTTACTGTCACATCAAGTCAAAATTTCCTTTTTGTTGTCGAGGATGTGCCTTGGCAGCTGATATTTGAGCTGTACTGTATACTGAATTTCTGGCATGTTTATTTCCAATAAGTCGTTGATGTATAATAGAAAAAGGGTTACCAACCAGCATTAATGAAAAGTTCTGAGAATGAAATACTGATGGTCACTTATAGGGAACAGTATTCGAGAAACTGTTCTAATTACAGTTTTTTGGGAAATAACATCTTTTTTATGTTTCAAGAGATCGTATTGTCCTAATTGCATTGTCAAATTACTCTTAATTAAGGTATATGAGTCTCACATCCAGTGATCTTTTACACCACATCAAGGCAAGTGGTATTGCTTCATAATATAGAAACAAATCAACATATTACACAGGACAAATGCATTGGAATAATACTATTAAAATCGATGACTGATATAAAATTACTTAAGTTTTTAATACAATCTTCAGATACGATCCGGTTGAGTTAGATCCCGAAGAGATGTGTCCTTTAGCAGCATCGAATCCTCAAGTATTATCAAATTATTCGGTATCAGATGCAGTAGCTACATACTACTTGTATATGCAATATGTGCATCCCTTTATATTTGCCCTATGTACTATAATTCCTTGCGAGCCTGATGAAGTTTTACGTAAAGGGTCAGGTGAGTGTAAATTCATCTAATATCACCTTCAAATTCTGACACTACTGAATTTCTCTTAGGTACATTATGCGAATCCCTCCTTATGGTGGAAGCCTTCCATGGTAACATAATTTTCCCAAATAAGGAAGAAACAGAACTGAATAAATTGACTCATGATGGACATGTTCTTGTTCAGGAAACTTATGTTGGGGGGCATGTGGAGGCTTTAGAATCTGGAGTATTCAGAGCTGATATTCCTTGTCGGTTTAGGATAGTTCCCGATGCAATTGATAGTCTCATTAATCAGATTTTGAAAACGTTGGAACATGCAATTGTTGTGGAGGAGGGGATTCCAATGGAGTGTGTCACAAATTTGGAAGAAGTGGCCGAGGAAATCAAAGCCAAACTGACAGCTCTCAAGGTGAGATATTCAACTACAAGGACATAATGTCTCTCATAGTTTGGAGTACGTACTATAAAATTAATCTGGTGAAATAGTAGTTTTGATCATACAAAACATGAATACCAATATTTATTGTTGTGTGAGGTATGTCGTGAGTTATTGATATCATAAAAAAATGATGGTGTGGTATGGTTTTATGGTATTTCCTCAGGCACTTCTTCTAAGAGAGTTGAATATCCAGCAAGGGGACCTCATATCACCAGAAAACCTTATCAGAAGTATCCAATTTGTTACCCTCTCTGGAGGAATTAGGAGGCAAGCCGCCAAATTAAATAAACCTTTGTCATCATCTTACGATAATAGATTTGGGCAGCTTTGGCATATATTATGTTTTTTTTTATTGATTCGGCCGTTACTTGAGAGTATTCTTTGTTCTTTGATACCATACTCTCATTCGCACATCACATGGAGAAAAGTGCAACTGCTGTGAAAAGAATATTAGGGATCATATTCAGAAATTGTAAAGATTTCAAAAACATGGAAAGTTTTATCACTATCTGCAACTCATTTGTTAGATTCCGTTTAGAATATGGCTGTCTTACCTGGTCACCTATATATTCTTCACACATTCTATCGCTTGAATCTGTCCAACGACGGTTTATGAAATATGTTATATACAAACAGATATGTCTACCCCTGGCAGGGAATAAATAATATATTGTTGCAGCGTTTTCATTTTCTATCTCTTGAAGACAGAAGAACTTATTATTCATATACAAACTGGTGAACAATCCTGTTAACTCACCAAAACTACTGTCTCCACTAGAGTTTCATGTCCCAAGAATGAGTGGTAGAACTGAGCAATGTTTTTACCTACCAACACCGAAAACCAATATGTTGTTCAAATCTCCCTTATTTGCAATGTGCTATAAATTTAATCAACTGATGTGTCGGAAAGTAGACGTTCATTCAACACCACTGAATATATTCAAAAAAGAGATAAAAACCATTCTGTTTGCAAAGCAACAAATACTCATTTAATTTTTTTTTTCAATGAAGGGATTATTGTTGCGATATATGTATATTTTTTATTTTCAACACTTTTATTCCAAAACTGTGTATTATGTTTTGCAAATCATCAAACACTTACTTGAAATTTGTTATTTTTTTCCTTCATTTTCTTTAAAATATTCCATGAATGTATTATTACTGTTATAATATGTATATATTTTCTATATTCAACACTTTCATCCCAAAATTTTATACTATATCCTGTAGTTTGGGTCTAGTGCCTGTTTAGACAATAATTTTTTTTTCATTACTGGTTTACCTTAATGACAGATATTATTAATGGATGTGATTTCATAAAACTTTTCGCAGATACCGCATTGTCATTTCAGGAGATATCGTCAAAACACTAGTTGGCCAAATTAATAATGGCCGAGAAATTGTTTTTATTAGTAAAGGATGTGATTTCATAAAACTTTTCGCAGATACCGCATTGTCATTTCAGGAGATATCGTCAAAACACCAGTTGGCCAAATTAATAATGGCCGAGAAATTGTTTTCAGTAGTAAAGGAAGTATAAGAATCAAAATAAACTCAAATTCAACATATCGGAAACAAATTCTATCATAATATCAACTGGTTACAAACCTGCAAAACTCAAGATTACAAATTGGCATATGATGAAACCGATTTAATTTCTATCTTCTATCTTGGAAACACGACGTTCATATTTCCGAACCACAAGCTCAAATTTCTCACATTACAATTCGAAAAGTACTTAAAAAGCGTTGTACATAGTGGTGTAATTTATCAGATGTCGGCCTTTTCTGGAAGAACATCATGAAAACTTCTGATATTGTCCACTGGTGGCGTTATTAATTCAACTTTTTTAACGTGATTCGAAACAACTTTCTCTAAGCAGGTGTTAATTGACTGATCTTTGTTTTAGGAACAACCTATGAGATTGGAAAGGCCCTTGATATATCATTTGGACGTAGGCGCCATGTATCCTAATATAATCCTAACCAATAGGTTACAACCCTGTGCCATGGTCGACGAAACTATGTGCGCAGCTTGTGATTATAATAAACCTGGTGCCATTTGTCAACGCAGTATGGCATGGATGATGAGAGAAGAATATAGTATGTTTCATTCAGCTACTTTTATATAAGTTCTCCTATTGAAATCAATAAATCTATCTATCTTTTTATGATTTAGTGCATTTACAAATCCAAAGAGAGACTTGAGAAAGAATTTCTTTGAATAATTTAAGCGTTCAATACATGAAATTTTGAAAAAATATTAGATTATATTCACATTTATTTATCAGTGCCGGCATCTCGAAATGAATACCACAGAATTCAACAACAGCTTGAGACAGAAAAATTTCCATCACAGTATCCGGGAGGAGCACCAAAGGCTTTCCATGAATTACAAAGACAGGAACAGGCAGAATGGGAGAAGAAAAGACTGTCTGTGTATTGCAGAAAAGTGTATAAAAAATTGAAGTGTACAAGAATTGAAGAACAAAAAACAACTATTTGTCAGAAAGAAAATTCCTTTTATGTGGATACCGTAAGAGCTTTTAGAGACAGAAGGTGAATACAGATGTAATGTTTATCTAACAATATTTTACCTATTTAATTGAAACAAGAGACGTGAACTTGATAGTTATAAAACAAATAGCTCCCAGTAAACTTATTCAGTGCAATTGACTGTTTTATACCATTGTACAACACTTTCTAAGACGTTTTTTCATGCACTGGCAGTGTTTCTATAACTAGAAAAAGTCATAATATAGGTAGGTATATGAAATGAATATGTATTTTACAGATATTCGTTTCATATACCATTGTTGAAAATTTTTTTGCTAGGATTTTAAGAGTTCACGAAGTCTTGATGTTGTTTTATGATAAAGTGATTTTATAATAAATTGATTGATGTAGCCATTACTACTTGGTAGGAGATCATGAAAAATGAAACTTTCTATATTTTTCACAACATTTATTCATAACTATTGTTACTGCAGTTTCGTCTTATATATGGAAATTTTCAAACTAATACAATAATACACTAATACAATATTGTATTAGTTTGAAAATGTCTATATAGGAAGAAACTGTAGTAACAACGATAGTTAAGAATAAAAGTGGTAAAAAACATAAAAAGTTTAATTTCTCATTTTTCATGATTTTTTTTTATTTAAGGGTTATATCCCAACCAAGTTTATTTGGTTAAAATGGATGGGAAATTTTACTAAGCATTTATACTTAACTGTATAAATTTGATAAAAATTCTAGACTTTAGGTTGTAAGATTTTATTTTAAACAGTCATACAGAAAAGTGTTCACTTGAATAAAATTTAGGAGCCACTGCTTTCATGATTACTTTTGTGTTGACAACCAACTTTATTTCAGGTATGAATATAAAGGGTTATCAAAAAAAGCCAAGCAAGCAGTTGTTGATGCTGTCAAAGGAGGAGATGCTTCTGAAATTAAATCAGCTAAAAACAGAGAGGTGCTGTACGACTCCTTACAGATGGCACATAAATGCATTCTGAATTCGTTTTATGGATATGTGATGAGAAGAGGGTAATATGTTATTTCTAAAATTCTTATGTCTATTTCAATTTAAACAAACATTCTAGTAAATAAGAGTGTTTGTAACTTGATTTGGGTTACTACTATATTTTACACATTGTTTTGTTAATTCTGGTTAATGAATTTCTATATCATTATTATTATTCCGTGATTTTAGGGCTCGTTGGCACAGTATGGAAATGGCAGGTATAGTTTGTTTTACAGGAGCAAATATTATAATGAAAGCTCGTGAGATAATCGAGCAGGTTGGACGACCCCTTGAATTAGACACTGACGGTATTTGGTGTATTCTCCCAGCATCGTTTCCGGAAAATTTCACTATACTTACCACTCACGAGAAGAAGAAAAAATTCAATATTTCCTATCCTAACACTGTCCTAAATGCCATGGTCAAAGAACATTTCACTAATGATCAGTACCACGAGTTAATTGATCCCATCAAATTGGAATACCAAGTGAAGAGTGAGAATTCCATTTTTTTCGAGGTTGACGGTCCATACAAAGCAATGGTTCTGCCTGCAAGCAAAGAGGAGGGCAAGAAACTGAAAAAGAGATATGCTGTTTTCAATTTTGATGGTTCACTGGCTGAATTAAAAGGGTAAAATTGAACGTTTTTCAATCAACTAAAAAAGGCTATCTTTTGTGTGTCGTTTTCAATAAAAAACAGTTTATAATATACACAAAACTTACAGTACATCAAAACCGAGATTTTTCAGGTTGGTGGGTAGCATTAATAATGCGGACTCAGACTTCTTATGCTTACTTTGGGATAACAGAAACTCTATGCCCTAGGAAATCTGTCTACTTGATTAACGAGTAATTTACAGTTTACAATTTAGAACCCTTTTTACTGTTTGGGTTGATGAAGTCATAACGTTTGACCGTCCTCTTAGTTTATTAGTTCTAATTTGTTATCAAACTCACTCAGTCCCAGCTGTCATAAAATAATCGAGAGGTAGTGTTTGTCTGAAAGTGAAACCTGAAGAGAACATCTCTACTTGCTTCCCTATCAGGACTGTACAAAACCACAATTTTTTGAGCATCATTCTCCAAGTCTCGCTGACAAAACTGAACTTCAGCTCCCAAACATCATTTTGTCACTCCGGCAATCGGACTGTTAGTCTTGTGGATTAATTTTATTTATATTGATTTATTCAATTGCTATTTATTACATAGGACTGATGTATTGTCACAATACACCACTTCTATGATTTACGCACAATCTCTAAAGAAGCAATAAATATAATCGCATGATATTAGCAAAGTCATAGATTGTGGATATTGTCCAATACTCTGCTATTCCCTTCAAATATTGAAGGGTTTTCACTTCTGCTTCTCACTTATCTGACAGTTGATCTCAAAGTTCTATGTTTGTGATTAATTTTGACATTGTGCTAGTATAACTATCTCAAACTGTCTGTTTGCTTATCTCATTGTTAGGCAAGATAAACATTGATTCTAGTTTACTATTTTCCAAAATAATTTCTTCAAAATGTTCACAGAGACTTCCACTCTGAATTTTCCCTTTGATGATCCGAACTTGACTTCTCATATCTCCTTCACCTCCTCTTTACTCCATTAAAAAAAATTTTGTTTATCGTATTAAATGTTTTGTTTTTGTATGTAACTCAACAAAAACTCACGATATTCTGTTAAAAAATCTGTTTTTCAGTTAACCAGCTGTCACCCCCTCTGAACGACAACTCTCAAAAGTTAAACTTACCTTTTGCAAGATTACTATTCATCCTCACTCAGATTTTTAATATACTGTTAATTGTGACATATCATATTTCAGAAATGTTCCATTCTTTTTTATATTTAAGAACTAATCTTTTGGGAATGATTCAGATATGGAATTATAATTATTATTTTCACTCAATTCTTTAATAGGTTCGAAGTTAAGAGACGTGGGGAGCTGCAGCTCATAAAGAATTTTCAATCCTCGGTGTTCGAAGCCTTTTTAAAAGGTGATACTTTGGAAACTTGCTACGCAGCTGTGGCTCAAGTTGCAGACTATTGGTTGGATGTATTATATTCGCATGGTCGAAACATGCCTGATTCTGAACTTTTTGACCTCATCTCTGAGAATCGATCCATGTCTAAGAAACTAGAAGAATATGGAGCTCAAAAAAGTACATCCATCAGTACAGCCAAGCGCTTAGCAGAATTTCTTGGTGACCAGATGGTGAAGGATGCTGGATTGGCTTGTAAATATGTCATTTCAAAAAAACCAGATGGCGCCCCTGTCACTGAAAGGTGATTATACTCCTGTAGGAAGGAGAAAATATTTATTGAAATAGTACATATTCAATTCATTTTGCCTAATCCATTAAAATTCTTTATTGAACTACTGTGTTGAGTTTTTCATTTTAGAGCTATTCCATTGGCTATTTTCCAAGCAGAGGAAGCAATTCAGAAACACTATCTGAGAAAATGGTTGAAAAACTCTTCTCTGAATGAGGTCGATATTCGTGATATTTTAGATTGGAGCTACTATATAGAACGTTTGGGAGGAGCTATACAAAAGATCATTACCATACCTGCCGCTATGCAGGGGGTGAGTTTATTTTCATTGTTTACAACAATCAGTATTGTTTGATATTTGAAACAGTTTACTCAAAATTGACTCTATTTTTTCAGGTACCGAATCCTGTTCCTAGAGTTAGACATCCAGACTGGTTACATAAAAAAATTTTAGAAAAGAGTGACACTTTCAAGCAAAGAAGAATTAGCGACATGTTCTCTGTTCTTCAAAAAAAACCTAAATTATCTGAGAATAATTCGGATGTAGTCGATGGCAATCCAGATAACCTTGACTCATCCAGTAATATTGGTGATATTGAAGATGTTGCAAGTACTAAAGATATGTTCAAGACCCCTGTTGCTGTTGTCACCAAAAGAAAGAGGGGTTCTGACAAGGAGAATGAATTCTCTGAAGAAGACCTGAATAAAACTTGGAGGGAAGTGCTTGGGAAACCACCTTCTTTTGGCAGCACACATGTAAGAATATTCGGTAAAAAAAAATATCAATAAATAATGTGAGAAACAGGTTGGTGGAGGGTAGGTCCAAAGTGAATGGATCTATACTATCCTCCACTGCAAGTGGGTTGACCAATAATTGACTACACTGAATAATCAAACTTAACTTTATTTCACTTTAAATAACACAAACACTTCAACTAAAACTTGAACTATTATTTGAATGTCTATCGCCTTACTAGATCACTTCGCGTACAGCACTGTAACGTCCACTTGACTGGGTCGATATCCTCGTGGCTAGCCTTTATATATCGTAATATATATGTTATTCTATTTAAATGATGATTCAGAAGACAAAGACCTATAAGTAGGCCTGTTAGATAATGTAGGTCATCCTTGCTAGAGTCTAACAATTGCATAATAACATACCTCAAAGGATGTATAAATGCATTAGAAAATGACAATCCTGGTAGATTTTGCAAGGAGTCTGAAACTATTCTTGTCCATATAGTCAGTATTTGTTTGGCAAAGCCTAATGCAATGCCAATAATATGTTATGGAACGATGAAACTGCTTGCAGGGCCTTCCCTTGCAAGTGAGTCAGATTCATTTCCTTTTAGGTCAGTGTGGCCGGGAATCCAGACCAGAGACAATTTGTTGAGTCTTTGTATTGAGGAGAATCTTTTTTGGTAGTTCACTACCAACTTTGAGGTTGCTCGGATAGAGTCAAGTGCTCCCAAAACCTCTTTCTTGTAAATGGGGCTATCACAGTTTTACCGAGGTTTGCAAGTATCTGCTTCCTCTGATACAACTATGAGTATTGTCCGGTGTTCTTTGGAAGAAATTGCAGGCAACGTGGTTCCTGCTAGGATGGCATAAGTACATCTGCATAAGGTTGCAGACCTGAACCTAATAGCCTCATCTCCAAGAGTCGTAATAAGAACTAGGTTAGCTAGGTATTGCTGAATGTATATGTCTCAGGGATGAATATAGATTGCCTGTCCTTACTGTACTTCATATGGATATATTAGCTGTTTAATTATTATTTTAATGTAAGCAATGCAGTCTTATGATGGAGTCAACTCATTTCCCTTGAATTTTGATTTTTTTGAATTCTTCCCAAGGTTATTATGAGTATTTTTTTAAAGTTAGTCAAAATTTTATCGCAAAATATAATAGACTAAATATTATCTAGAGTGGCTAGTTTTGAAATGAAAGTACTTTACGAGGTCTGCTCAAAAAATGAGGTGAATGTTGAAATTTAGCGGGCTATGTACATTCGATTAGCGACTTTTTAATTTTTTTATGTTGGTACACTCATCTCAAACATATGTACAAACTTTCAGCTGTTTAGTTTGTAGTTGAGGGGCATAAAAGTTAGTGTGTTCGCCGATTTTCTGCTATTGAAAAAAATGGATCAAAGAATTTGCATTAACTTTTGTGTAAAAAATGTAATTAAGTGTTCAGACACACTTGAAATGTTAACAATGGCATACGGTGATTGTACTCTGAGTCAGAAAAATATTCATAAGTGGTACAATCTTTTTACAGAAGGTTGAGAAGATGTGAATGACGACCCTCGCCCTGGACGCCTCAGCACATTAACAACCGATGAAAATGTTGAGAAAGTGAAGAAAATTGTTATGGAGAAATACCGAATCACTATTAGAGAAGTTGCTGAGGATGTTGGCATATTGTTTGGCTTATGCCATGCAATTATTTCGAAAATTTTGGGGATGAAGCATGTGGCATCGAAGTTCGTTCCAAAATTGCAGAAAAAAAAAAACATCGCATGAACATCGCTCAGGAATTGTTGAATGACGTCAGCGGCGAAAACAGATTTTAAAACAGACAGACAGACAGACTTCAAACATTTTTTTAGAATTCACATCCCTGGTAGTACAAAAAAAAAGTGTCTACAATTGTAGACATCAGTAGTCAATGGTACCTATTATAATATTTATTTGAAAAAGAAAAGAACATTAGTTGTGTAAAATCAAATATAAAAAAGATTGTTCATTCTAAATCTAAAGGTCTCAAAACAGTTGCGATTTTTCTGAAGGCACAAATGTACCTTACATTCAGTGCAAATCTATCGTGACTTGCCCTTGCACCCAACATTTTTACAACGTCCAGGTAGTGATATACCAGTGTGCTCTGGCATATGATTCACATTGTCCATTTGTACATATGCTAGAGGCCTCACTTCGTTTCTTTTTCGACTTGGCTGGACTGGGGCATCATCTTTTGATGGCCTCCCAACCTTCTTTAGTGAAATTTCATTTCCCTGTTTGATGAGGACCTCTCCTATTTCCATTCTGAAGTGTAATAAATCTAGAGTTTTTTTGCTGGCCGTCCAAGCAGCTGAGAATCTTTTCTGTACTCTGTCCATGAATTTATGAGTACCATATCTACAGCATGAAATATCATCCTCAGTGTCCATTTCTTGGACCTTATTTTTATTCTATATAATGATATGAGTGCGTCAGCTTTGTTGACGCCACCCATAGAGGTATTTTATCCCTTTACTATTTGCGGACGGTTCACGTCAATACGAGACTTTGTATTTTTATTCCAGCGTTTCACATCATCCTGGTCTCCTATTCCAACATAGTTTGACGCCAATGCCACTGGTTTATTATCCAGCCAATTGACCAAAACAAATCCTTCGTTTGAAAGAACTTCTTCAAAAAATCCTCTCTGTTTGTTATGAAAATCTTTGTCGTTTGTGAGAGGAAGCTTGAAAAATCTATTCAGTCTGACAGTACCCGTCACGAAAATTGACTTCTGGTTCAAAACGTCGATCAAATTGTAAGACGTGAAATAGTTAGCACAAAATAATTTATACTTTCGTGGTGCTAAAATATCTGACAGTTGTAATACTATCGCAGCACCTTTCCCAAATTTTTTTGATAACTGTGGATTGATTTCCGTTGTATTTCCTTGATATATAATGAAATTGTACGTTAGACCATTCGCACCACATAGTAGAAATAATTTGAAGCCCCAAGGATGTGGCTTTTTTGAATGGGACCATCTGTTCGTCTACGCAAACATTTGTTTTGTCATCTAGCTCCTTGCATCTTTTGAGTACTGAGTCGAAGATTGGTCTCACTTTCCACAGCTTGTCATTTTGATTTTGGTCATCCAAATTGTCGACACAATGCAGATTGATTGTAAGTTTATAAAATTTATTTATATACATTGTCTCGTGGAATATCTGAACTTTCAATGCCAGTGATTATGTGCAATCCAAAGAAAGCTTTCAACTCTTTTATATTGGTGGGTGTAAAATGCATGTCGTTGTTTTGAAGTGCATAAATATTGGTACTTTCTACCATTTTCTTGAATAATTTTTCTGGTAAATATTTCATAAAGTATTCTATTGGAGAAATTTCATTTTCTAGTGATATATTTGGATTTATTATTATTATTCAAAAACATACTTATTGTTTGGAACTTGACACCTTGCATCCATTCGATTTCAAACTTCTGGGATGTAGATATATTTCGAAGACTGTCTTCATAATTTCGGGCACTCGTCATTGGTTGTTCATTATCTATCTTTCTTTCTTCAATGGAGTCCTGCTCTTCGTCTGGTTGTTCGAAATTTTCCTCAGTGTCCTCTGTCGTTTGGGATCTCCAATTTGTCTTGTTGTCATAATATCTTCATCACTATCAAGGCCTTCTATGTCAGAAAGGCCTTTCTCTAAATCTTCTAGAAGTTCTCTCTCAGTTAGAATTCTATTTCTGTCCATGATTTCCTGAAATGACCAAAATTTTCAGTGGAACAGATAATTAGTTCCTTGTATACAAATGTCTACAATTGTAGACACGATATTTTAGGGGCCTATTATAATTCCTAGGAGAAATATTTCACAAAAATATGTATGAGAATTCAAGACAATTCATTTATAATAAAAAAAAAAGCATAACATTGACTTCCGATATAATTGAAGAATTACGAGAACTTACCTGGATAGAATGTATAACGAAGTTGTCACAATGCACGATGCTGGATATGTTTCTATATGTGTAAGGCAGCTATCACTGCTAACTGGCTAACACATGTGCAGAGAGGTCAACAAATGTATTTAGGGTTGTATAAATGCAAAACGAAGCGAATTACAGGTATCACGGAAACTGGAAAGTTAGTGTCTACAATCATAGACACCGTGAGCCAAAGGGTTAAAAGGGTCATAACTGCCGACGAATCATGGGTATATGGTTATGACATTGAAACCAAAGTCCAATTGTCCCAATGGAAGAGCCCAGGAGAGCCAAGAATAAAAAAGCACTCCAAGTTCGATCAAATGTCAAGGTTTTGCTCACTATTTTCTTCGAGAACTGTGGCGTAATGCATCAGAAGTTCTTGCCACATGGTCGTATGATCAATAAGGAGTATTATCTTGAAGTTATGCGCCCCTTGCCACAAGCAATACGAAGAAAAAGTCCGGTATTGTGGAAAAACAATGTATGCCCTTTACATCACGACAATGCACCTGCTCACTCGTCATTGCTTGTAAGTTTTTGGCCATAAACAACACCGTAATCATGCCTCAGCCACCGTATTCATCAGAGTTGGCCCTTACGACTTTCTCCTGTTCCCAAGATTGAAGAGACCCATGAAAAGACGGCGTTTAGCGACGATTGAGGTAATAAAAGTCGAATCGCTGAGCTCAAGGACATATCAAAATGTGCATATCATATCGATAAATATTTTTTGTGAAAAATTAAGAATCACCTTAGTTTTTGAACAGACCTCGTACATACATGAACTCCCTTGAGCATATATTCAGAATACATTCAATGAATAATACTCTTTTTTTTTAGGAAGAAACTTTGATTTGGATTGATTTTCATAAAAGAAAATGGCGGTTTCAAGCACTGCAAAAACTTTGTGTCAACAAAAGTAAGAAGAAAAAGTCAAATAATGACACTACCATATTGCGATCTGCAGCTCCCGGAACACTTGGTGGCTTCATTCAAAGAGCACAGAGAACTCTGTTGACAACTCCTTGGCAGGTGATTCAGATTGCACCCACGAATACTCCTGGAGAGTTTAGACTATGGGCACTAGTAAGCAATTTGTTAATAAATCAACACTTCTAATCAGTTTATAACTCGCGACAAACATTACAGTCTCTATAAAAATATAAAAAAAATCTAAAAACTATTTTCCCAGAGGGATATTGAATTAATAGAAATCAATTAAAAACTATGAACATATTTTATTTTAGGTTATGTCTGAATTACATTTGATTAAACTGATTGTTCCAAGAATATTTTATGCAAATTTACGCACCCCGAAAGTGGCAGAAGAAGGGGCACTTTTCAAAAAATGTAATAGAATGTTACCTAGATCCAGGCCAGTCCATAATTTATACCTGTATTCTGTGCCCGAAGAAGTATTTCAAGAGCATGGAAAGTAAGATATCAAGTACAATGCACTGTTTGTTATTGATATATTTTTTCTTTAAGGAAGGTTTTTCTTGATCAGACCGATCCTAATGTAGAGGGAGTTTATGAAACTCAAGTCACTCCAATGTTCAGAGCTTTGCTTCAAATCGGTTGTGTTTGTAAGGTACTACCCGGGGCTTCAAATTCTGAAAATTTTGATCTTCAACAATTAGATATGGTCAGTGTAGCTCGTCAGCCCTATTTAGGAAAAGATTCAATCCGTCATTTATATTTCTACCACCATAAACATATGATCAAACCCCAACATATGTTTGCATTATTCCTAACCCCAGTTAAAAAGGCTGTAATTTTAGTTGTGGACACTGTTAAGACAAACTTGATGCCCAATATGATGAATTTATATCAAGCAGAAAGATTGGCAAAGTGAGTTTTTGTTTTATTAGCAATAGCATAATATTTGAACATTCATATTGCAGATTAGAAAAAAATCCTGATGATGAACTTCTACCACCTGAAGAAATATCCATTGAAGTTCGAATAGAATCTAATCTAACTCAAGTTTATAAAATATTACAAAAAACTTTACAAGCATATAAAGACGAGAAAAAAGGACCTACATTATTGGGTGTCCAGTCTGCCATGGAAATGCATGACTTGCAAAATAATATTCCACCCTTTGCCGATTTTCCTCAAGTGCAAATTCATGTTCAGGTAACCTAAACCTTCGTCAAATTGAAAAAAAGCATTTATATGATATATTATAGGCTCTAAATGGGTTTAATTAGGAAAGTGATTATTTGATTATAGGATATTGACGATTTATACAATGCATTAGACTGGCAAAAAATTGGTGCTCGAGCGATTGTACGTCATTATTTGAACAGCGAGAGAGTACTGGAATTGATGGCAGAACAGTGTAGATATTTTCACTTACCCATTGGAAATATGCCTTCTGATCCTGCCGTCTTTGGATCTGATTTGTTTTTTGCCCGGCATCTCATCAAGCATAATCATGTTCTCTGGTGCTCATCAACTGATAGACCCGATCTAGGAGGAAGTCAAGAAAATGATGCAAGGTAACATTCACGGTTCATGATATACTGAAACAACAGGAATATAATATTTGTACTGTACTACATTTAAAGATCACTAATTATGATGAAGATTGTGATAATAATTATTGTCTAATTAAACAGGCAAACAGGAAGAAAATATCCTGATTTCTCAAAAAATGGATATCTTTGTACGATATGTTCTGATATTTAAACTAACATGTCACATTCATTGTTTCTCATTTACAACTAACCTTTCAAAATATGGGATGTTTCAATTCATTAAAAAGAAGTAGTTTATGTAACTTCATGAAGATTTTTATATTCTAAAAATATTTTTTTCAATATGGATTTCATAATTCTGGCATAAATTGTTTCCATAACAACCAAATTGTCACTGCTCCTTAACCGTGAATTAATCCAATGTAAGAAGCATTGGTCTCATAGATTGTATCACCTCGGCCCCTGATCATAATTTTTTTCAGTAACTCTTATTATTTGCACTGCTTTGCTTGATCATTGGATTAGTTGAATATTTGGAAAGTATGTTTCAAAACAGTTCAGCTCAAAATTCTTTTGAGAAAGCATTTTGGTTCTCATTGGAGGTTATATTGAAGATTTTTGTTCAAATTCTTCACAATTTTATTTCCTATTTTACAAATAATGTGTTAGGTTTGCTATCAAATGTGTTAGCTTTGCTATCGAATGTTTTATCCTGAGAGGCTTGATTTTTTTCTAGTCATATCTGAAGGATTTTTTGACACACCTGCTTTTGTTCTTCCATCATCCTCTTGGCTTATGTTACTTTGAAAGTCTTTGTTAAAGAACTCAATTCAATTGTTTATACGAAATGCCGTAACAGGATGTTCGAATTTATTCTCATATAGATTGTGGAATGTTGTAAAATAGTCAAAAAAAATCAGATTTGAAGGATACGAAATATTTGGATTGATCTATTCATTTAGGTGTTTCTATTGGCTAGTTATCTTAGAAGATGCCACCTTATAAAGTGTCTTCGTGACTAATTACATGTGGACATTAACAGTCGATTGAAATGAAATAAACTTCATGTAAATACAAGGTATCAGAAAGATGAAAAGTCACTCTACAAACTGTACATCAAAACTTAAAATAGCAGGTACTGTCACATCTATAGTGACGATACACTCGAATGTTTGAAAGTGGTCGACAATGTTTCATGGTGAATTCTACTAGTTCGTTCTTCCATTGTCTAATATGATATCATCATTTGGTGTAACCATTCAAAAAAGATCTTCATGATGGAACAGATTTTGGGGAGAAGACAGCAAGAGCCTCACATGTAAGAGAAGCCGTCACAACCAGTGCTTGCCCTTCTCTATGTTAGAAAATTGTCGGAAAGGATAAAAAAAAATTGTTTCCGAGTACATCAGAACCTGCTTCAGATCCGGAAACACCATCCGTAGCAGATTCACGAAAACCAGGCCACCAAACGCGGACTGCGATTCCATGAATTGCATTTATCGGATACCCTGTTCGAGCAGCTAATCCTGTGCATTGCCGAGCACAGGAGAAACACACAGCGAGGAGAAACCAGCAAATCGGGAATAGCAGAGCATGTTTGGACTCACCAACATAACATCAAGTGGTCCTAGGCTGAGATCATCTACAGAGAGCAACACTGGTTCAAGAGGAAGTTTAAAGAAGCTGTATAGTGTTTGCCCAACGACGCATTCAGCCAAGCTAGCGTAGAGATACGGTCGGTAGACAAGCTGTTCGGCGTGGGTGCTTTGTTCACTCACTCGAATTGACTGCCGTGTTGGTCGGTGGTTCAAGGCCTAGTCTGAATGATCGATCTTCACTTGCTATCGTCCAACCCGTGTTAGGAACCACACGTTAAATGGTAAGACTCGTTAAACAGAACAGACAGATATGAAAACTTTTAATTGAGTGGAAAAACGGTCAACCCCCTCTAAACCGGTGAAGCGGAGAGAGAAAAGAGGGGATAGTTGCAAGCATTCGGATAACCTATAGTCATCTCTCGAGGAAATAATCCAGTCATCACCCAAAGACAATAGTTGATGCTAACAATCGAAACGTCGTGAAGTAACTTGGTTTGAAATCTGTTTAATTTTTATTTCATTTTGAATTGTTCAATTTTGAATTTTTTGCTTATTTTCATTTTATTGCATTCATTATTCAATGTAATTGTTATTCATATCAATTTTAAATTTTATTTATTCTTTCAGAGATTTCAAATCATATATCATATTAGACAATAGAAGTCCGAACTAGTAAAAAATGCAGTTTTACTATTCACCCCTATTCATTCATTTTTGGTTGGAATAAAGATTATTATATATTTTTATGTGCCTCATATACATTGTTATTAGGCTTCTAGCAGAGAATCAGGAGGCCTCATCTGAAGTTTGCAATGAGCCAGGCTGGTATTCCATGGTTTGTGTTGAACTAGACATTGACAGCTTGGCCATCAACACTCTTCTCCAATCTCATCATGTTACAGACATAGAAGGGATGTCTAATATCACAGCATTTGATGCATCAGCAGTTACATCTGTAGATGACATGATATCTGGAAACCAAGCAATAACCACTTACGACGAATCAGCTAGATGCGCGGAGGCCTTCAAAATTTTAAGAACTATGGCAGCTTCTTGGATGAGAGATATATCGTTGTATCGAAACGTGTTCGCTGATTTTCAGGTTATTCACTTTTACAGGTTAGTATCAATGAATTATAATTCAATCATTTTATTTCATTCATGGCATATACCCTTTAGAATAGTGGTGGTTTTCACATTAAAAATAACACTCCAAGAGTCCAAACCCTTGATAAAAAATAAACGCATTATGAAAATTGTCCCTAAAAATGATTAAATTCAAAAGTTCAGAATGAATGTGTTTTAACATTCCAGATTGTTGACCATCATCTGTTTGGATGTCCTGCTGCAAAGATTGTTATTTGTTCTCTTGGGAGGTTCAATTTTTTATAACAATCATTTCCTTTTGGCCAACAGCCGATTCATACACCAAACTTTTACATCATCATTCACTTCAATAATAGAGATTAAAAATTGTTAAATCAGTTCACTCATGTTGAACTTGTGATTGAACACCAGACACCGTTGTTTCGACCCGCCTAGGTCTTATCAGTGGTGCTAGGCTGAACCAGTCAAGTGTTTTCTAAGAACAGAGCCCGTGACTACCAGACCTTCGTTATTTCATGAAAGCTGAAAGTTGATTAGTGCATAGCCCCAACATAGGTAGGAATGATGGTCCACTATAAAGTTTGGATCATACTGACTTTTGCAAATAACAGGTAGCACAGGTATGAAAATCCCTCGCTAGATAATAAACTGTAACTATACTTACGTTATGGTATAAAAGCTACATTCCAAATTTATTGATTGGATAGCCAGATAAACTTGAGAATAATGGCGCAAATATTTCATTAAACACATAATACACACAAAAATATTTTTTTCTGGAGAATTTGATCAACATTTCTCGATTCTGGTTTCAGCAATTGATTGTTCGAAGTTGATTTCATGGCAGTCGACCTTCAAGATGCGTAAAATGAAAATATTTTTTCAATTATCGAGTTGGCGGGAATTCGGTCGAAATATTGAAGAAAACCAAATGCTAAATTGTCGATTTCGAAACTTTATTGTTTCGTCTTCAGGTCTCTGAAGTATAAGAACAAGACTTACATATTAAAATTGGATTCTAGAATGTAGTTTTGTTAAAAACAAATTAAATTATGTAAAATAACAATCGTTAAAAAATAATAAAACGCTTTGAACACTTTACAGAAAACAACGTTGATGAGTACTTACATCTAGGCGGCTTTCCGAGTTCAAAAGGGCGACGTAAATAAATTTAATTTCATTCAAGAGTCTTCTTTTCAATATCGTCTGTTGTCCTATAATACTGAGTAAATTAAAATCAAAAGTATGAAGGGATGACTTACAATGTTCTGCGAGGATAGTGGGGTTTTTCATTGTTTTCAGTGGGTTGTGTATATTTTTACAATCCTTGCTATGTTCAGCCATTCTTTGTTTTAGATACCTACCAAACTAAACTTTATTTCACTTTGAATACAACAAACACTTCAACTAAAACTTCAACTATTATTCGAATGTCTATCGCCTTACTAGATCGCTTCGCGTACCGCACTGTAACTTCCACTTGACTGTCTCGATGGGCGAGTGGATTGCGCTTATATTTGGCAATTGAAGGCCCTGGAACATGCCTCAGAATTCCATCGAAGACAGTACCATTATTCTCGCTACATCTAGAATGGCAGCGAATATCGTAAATTCGCGCGCTCTTAGTTACGTCACAGTTATTTTCTTTAGGGCATGATTTACAACAATACTTTCTCACACTCGTCCAATATTATCTACAAAATATCATGTGCCGTAATTTAATTTATGATTGAAAGGCAACAATGCATGATCTGATTACCAATTTCACATTTTATTATGAAACCTGTGTATGTTTATATGTATACACAGTTCAAAGTTTGAAGTAACTTTTTTGATATCTGCTTTAGATAAATTAAGTATGAATTGACATGTTTGATGCCATGTAGTTGGTGTATGAAATGAATAAATGTCTTTATTCACTTCATGAACTCTATACTTAATATTTCAATGAAATTTTCAGATGGCTGCGCTCGCCAAAATCTCTTTTGTATGATCCAGCTTTATTGAGGACTCTACAAAATTTGATGAAAAAACTGTTTTTGCAACTCGTAGCAGAATTCAAAAGACTTGGCTGTATGATAATTTATGCAAATTTCAATAAAATTGTTATTTGTTCTAAACGAAAGAAAGTGGAAGATGCATTAGGCAATGTTGAATTTGTTGTTACTTCAATACGCAACAAAGAACTATTTCATTCTTTGGAAATTACATTCAGGTAATAATTAAAAGTACTTCTTAGACTGATTTTATTAATATACATCATATGTTCAGTCAGTGTTGGGAGCATCTAGTGTGGTTGGATTTGGCAAACTTTGGAGGAATTAAAGGAAAGGCACCAGAAGGCACACAAAGCGAATCTCAAGAGGAAGATTCTCAAAACGAAGATGAAGGGGATGAGGATGAGAATAATGAGGTGAAGTCCTTGAATTGATTCTTTAGTAATATATTAAATTCGAACAACTACTTCCTCCTAGAGATTTTAAATGATACAAAAATAACTTTTTATTTTTCAATTAGTATAAATGAGATTAAAACTAATTTTTGCTTTCGAATAAACTCATAGTTCAGTAATATGAATTGGTTTCAGCCACAAGTTGTGATGAATTGGAATATAGCTGAACTTCTTCCAGAACAAGCGAGATGTAGAGATAGTTTCAATGCTGTAATAGCTGGTTACATCAATGCTATTTATGTCCGACTGAAACAAAACGAGAATACCACCATATCACCTGCAGTACTAAGTCAGCCATCGTTTGGTATTGCTCAGTATGAGGATGTTATTGACTTTGCCAAAAACTTATTGGCCGGAGAGCTAAGTCAAACTTTATTCCAGTAAGCAATTTTTCGAACAGATCAATCACAGTAGAAATTTAGGCTTTAGCGGCTATCTTTTGAAACAATTTGGGGTTTCTGGTTTTTTAGGCTGTCGTCTCTTGGAATGTTTTTCTGTCATTTCGGTGGCACAAGTGGCTGACATCTTCAGAGATTTCTGTTATCGCTACCTCACTGGCGTGTTTGTGGTCGCAGGCTATATTTATGAGTGGTCGGAGAGGAGGAAGGGTCACTCTTGACTAATTATGTGCATGTTGTTTGGCCTGTCCGATCTACTAAGTTGGTCTATTCCACTTAGATGGTCCAGGCATTCTTACTATACTGGCGTTTCGTAGAGCTAGAGTCCAAATTTTGTCGATCTTCATTGTTTCTTCTATCCGGTTAAAACTGTTGTCATGTTTATAGATTTCAATTGCTTTACGAACTAACCGTTCATAAAATCCTGACTAGTGCATGACGCATTCCATACTCCTGTGGCAAAATGTATGTTGGCACAACCAAGCGTTCGATCAGCACAAGGACTGCGGAGCACAAAAGATACTTCAGACTGAGACATACGAAAAAATCAACTACACCAGAGCACCTATTAGGCACTGCTGAGCACAGGATACGCTTCGAGGACACCCAACTTCTTGCTCACTTGTCAGGCTCTTACAACTGGTTAGTTCTTGAGGCAATTAAAATAAACAAACATTACAATAATTTCAACCAAAAGGGAGAAACAATAAGAACTGAAAGTTTGTATACCAGCTTTACAGCGAGAATGCCCGGACCATCTGAGCAGATCGGACCAACTAAGCAGATTGGACCCGCCGAACAACCCGCACGTGATTAGTTAGAAGTGGCCCGTTCTTCCTCTCCAGCCACTCATAAATATAGCCAGTGTCCACGAGTGTTCCAGTGTACCTTCAACCTTACAAGCGATTACACAGACATCTGAAGTTGCCATCCACTCGCGCCGGCGAAATGACGAAGAAATTCCAACAGCCTCAAAACCACAAACAGTTTCAAAACAATAAAAATTGCATATTTTGTTGTTTTTTTAGGTTGACTGAAAAAATAAACAGTCGTCTACAGCCACTTCCTGATGGAACCAGTGCTGCACTTGAATTTGTAAAGGCTATATGCCATATATTGAGTTTAGACTCAGCTGTGAAAGATGCAGTAGATGAATTGAAAAGTAATTTACTTCGGCTTATTGGTAAGTGCGTGTAAAAAGTCAGAAAACAGTTAATTCGATAGGGTAGTGAAAATAATTAAATTCATAAATTACTTTCAATCAGTCAAAAATTATGTTGTATGTAATGAATTGATGTGAGATTTTCACTAAACAGTAAAAATACTGCAATATGTGTTTCAGTATATAGTATAAATATGTTATCATGGATTTTCATCAAGTATTGGTAATTCCATTATATAGAGAAAATTGAAGCTTTAAAATAACATTATTATTTCTCCCACAGGTGTTGGTGAATTTTCAGGAAAGGCAGTATGGAAAGATCCTACTGTCTCTTACATTATACCTCAGATCATCTGTAAAGCCTGCAACCATTGTCGTGATATTGATTTGGGCCGAGATCAGCATCGATCAGATTCTGCATGGCTTTGTCCATTGTGCAAGACAGCATATGACAGTTCTGAAATTGAATGCACCCTTCTGAGTATCGTAAACGGCAAATTTCTGGCTTACAATTTACAGGATTTACAATGCAAGAAATGTTCACAGGTAAATAAAACAAGCATCACTGAAAAATTTTATTTTTTTTTTTTATTTTTCTTTCTTCTATAATGTATTGTAGCATATGTGACAATGTAAATAAGAATTTACAGTACATTTTAGGAACATTCTCATAATTTTTGTATTCACTTTCCCAAAGATATCAGATATGAAATATATATTTTTAGTCAAATAAGCCTTCAGACGAATTTTAAATTTAGCTATATTAGCATTTTCATTTATTTTCTTTGAAAGCTTATCAGAAATATTTTGGTCCAACTATAGTGAGGACGTGACAAAACAACATATTTATTGTGAGAAATACAAAAATTAGTACAATTGCTTATAAGAATGTATTTCCTAATACCAAAGCTTGAATACTGCTGGATTATCTGGAATCCATTGACTATTGAAAAAGTTCAAACCGCTTTCTGAGATATATCTATATATGGAAAAATACGCCTATTCAAATTATCTGTTTAAAATCTGTTTTTTATTAATCAGCTGACATAAAATATAAATACTTACGAAAAACGTTGACACAGACACGAAGAAATTACAAACTGAACTGTCGGTGAATCGTTCCTTTATAATGCAAAAAAGGCCCACGAAAAAAATGATAATTGTAATTAGAAAAAATCGTCTGTTAATGATTCAGAAGTATTGTTTGATTTTTTCTATTTGATAGAAATATGAGGTGTGTAAATTTTCAATATCCAACCTTTTGTTAACACATTTTGTTCCATGCTTTGTTATTTCAATAATTTCATTCAAGAGTCTTCTTTTCAATATCGTCTGTTGTTCTATAATACTGAGTGAATTAAAATCAAAAGTATGAAGGAATGACTTACAATGTTCTGCAAGTATAGTGAGGACGTGACAAAACAACATATTTATTGTGAGAAATACAAAAATTAGTACAATTGCTTATAAGAATGTATTTCCTAATACCAAAGCTTGAATACTGCTGGATTATCTGGAATCCATTGACTATTGAAAAAGTTCAAACTGCTTTCTGAGATATATCTATATATGGAAAAATATGCCTATTCAAATTATCTGTTTAAAATCTCTTTTTCCGTTAATCAGCTGTCGCTGATATAACTGAACTGATATTGAAATTATTAGTTTGGAAACCAGAGGATAAGTAACCATATGTTACAAATCTTTCAAGATTAAAGATAATTGTCCCATCTCAAGTATCCCCCTCGAGAAATAAGACTTACTTTTTTTAATACCTTTTACTTCAATTATTGTTCACTAATCAAAACTATGATGAAATCAACAAACAAACATATTATAATTATCTGAACGTAACTTTGAACTACCAACCAGAGCATTTTTTAAGGCTTATATGAGTATTTTTTGTAAAACGTATTTTCAGGACTTTTTTAATTTCTTATATAATTTTTTCCTCTGTAATAATTGCAACTATATCTTAGGAAGCGTTACTATGCTATAAAATCTTGTTTTTCTCATGTAATATGATTTTATGAACTGTTTGGAAAATAAATTGGCCCAAGGACAGACTAGACATAGTTTTAATTTTTTTTTTCATTATATTTATGTATTGCTTTCTAGTCATTGAAAAGTCTTTAACCTGTTGTAAAAAATTCCAGGAATGCCATGCAAGTACAATTTTGATATAAACAGATAATGTACTCATTCGAATGTCCTGCTGAGATCATAAAAGACACGGCACGACAGAGAAAATATGATGAGTCATCACAAAGCTCATTAGTCGTTTAAGCTATGAGTATTGAAAGAACTTTGAGAAACAGGATGTAATAGGCCGGTAATTCTCAACTAATAGAAAGACTATGACTGATAGAAAAATCCACAAGTGAAGAAAAAATTAATAATGTACATATGGGGTAAAATAATTTAATATAAAACTTTCTTAATGAGAAATGCAAAAATGTCATCAAGCCCTGACGATACTTCATTTTTCAGTTTTATAATGAATGTTCAAAAATAGTTTTTGAAATAGGTTTCATTGAACTGATAACTTCCGGAGTTAAATTTTGGAATAGCTTACGGTATTCATAAAAAATTACTGATTATTTATAAATTGTTTTATTTATGGGTCCACCTCTTTATTCACAAATTAACCATAATTATATGTATATCACAGAAAAAAAATAGTTATGTTAAAATATGTTTTTCCGTTAACCAGTTGTCGCACCCTTACGCACGACAACCCTCTGAATTCGAAACTTGTGCGAGCTAAGGACTAACGAGGTCCTACATTTTAACATGTGATTCCTAACACGGGTTGGACGATAGCAAGTGAAAATCGATCGTTCAGCCTGTGGCTTGAACCACCGACCAACACGGCGGTCGATTTGAGTGAGTAAACAAGCACCCACGTCGAACCGACCGACCTGTGAGTTCTGCAACTCATCAGAAAATGAATACATCAATAAAATCATTGTTTCCCAGGGATTTTTCTCAATCTTAGATATTTATTTAATGTTGAGAAATAAATTTTCTTTATAATTTTTTTTTATCCTAAAGGCTCATTGAATGGTTTACTCGCTTTACGAATTTAGGATTGCGAGAGGTTTATTGATGATACGAGAGAGAAGTTTTATCAATAATAATACCACAAGACCTCAACATTTTATAAAAAATTTCCATTTAATGAAAACTTTATCGAGCAATATCTTGAGAGCAAACTGCTTGATAAAATTTTGATCCCGTAGGACGAGTGGTTGCTCGATTGGTTTTGCTGAAAAGCAATAAAGTTCGATTTGGAAAAAATGGAACATTTATCAAAGGACATTTTTTTACGTCGAGTGGTACTCTGTAAAGATTATTTCCTGAAATATTCTCAACTGAAAGCATCAATATAAGAACAAAACATCAATTCTCAAATCAAATAAATTTTATTACGCGAATAACGTGAAATTTCAGCAAGAACATTTGTTTGAGGCTACAATCATATCTGAACAAAGCACGTAAATGAGTCAAGTCGTATTTGTTAACAATGGCTGACCTGCATGACACCGCTGGATGCATGCCGCGTATTCATTTCGATTTCAGTGAAATTCAGAATGACGTTTCCATTCGAATTGAAAATATCTTGCTATATGAGGTTTTGAATATGATCTTGAGATTTCTGGATGTCATACAATAAATTGTTGGTATTCGATAAGGAGCCTTAATTGAAGTTATCTAATTTTCGTGAGGTTATGTAAATCTGTATTGGTGAGTTTTATTCAATTTACATATTCATTTGAGTTGTTTCAGTATGAGGGTCTAGTTTCTGTCACAATCATAATATCAAATTAAACCTGGGAATTTCTGTAGATGCATTTATGCAAAGCTTTGATATTCAGGCATAATTATATTTGAATATATGATTCCATTTGGGCAGTTACAGTGATTGAAATTATAAGAATGATGTATAACTAGGCTCCAAGAGTCACATACGATTCAAGAATTACACCTAGATGTCAATTTTAAAGCAATCAGATATATCACTGTTTGGGAGAAGCTTCTATGTTGATTTTAATAATAAAGTGTTTTACTTTTGAAAACTCTCCAGTATTGAATGAAGTATATATAAAATGTTTTTTTTTTCAGATCAAACTTGAGAATCTGATGAAACATTGTCAGTGCTCGTCGGATTTCAAATGTCTGCTTTCAAGAACTGACTTGATAAAACTTCTCCAGACATTCTTGTCCTTGGCAAGGAGATTTGATATGCCAGCTTTAAGTGAAACAGTTGAACAGACTCTGAAATTAGTGTAGTAAATGGTGTTAATTTTTACCTTTTTATTTATTGAAGTGTTTTATTAAACAGTTTTATAGAGATTTTTTTTACTATGAAGAATGAAGTGATACACTTCTAACGACTATTTATTGAAACAATAACTACAAAATTATTTTTCCAAGTTGATAGGATCAATTACTGGATCTTGGAATTTGAAAGATGGGAACTTGGTCATATCGACTCCAGGTCCGCCTCCATATTGCCTTGCAACTTTTTCCAGTTCGGTTTTCAATTCCTTTTCAAGTTCAGGTGTTGGTTCAACCAAGTTTTTACCACTGAAATAAAATAAATTTAAAATAAAGTCAGAAATATCTAGATTGATTTATAATTAAAAAAACTTGATAACACCAGTGTTACAAATTTTAACCAATCCAAATATTTAATCTTCTTCAAACTTGAGTAACTTATTGAAGCTACAATGTCTATTTTGGATTAGGCAGTTTTACTCTTTTAGATAAGTTCGAAGTTGTAAATTAGATAAATAGATCAAGCAAAAGCACTAGAAAACACCTTTTATTATTCCACAAATTCTTGACAATCTAATCTAATATATAAAAATGGATGTTTGTTGGTTGGTTGGTTGGATCGTGATGAAACTTGACATGTATAGTAATTTTTCAAAGTGAAGGTTTTTGGGCTATCAATTTTTCTGTAACTCTCCACTAGATGGCGCTATAGAACAATTTTTTGAAAGCACTGTTCTATAACACTGCTCACGCTTAAGTTCGTTGATTCTGATTCTGTCAAAATATTGGAACAGCAGCGATACAGCAACTTAGTAATAATTAGTACTACAACTACCAAATTCTACGCGGGCGAAGCCGCGGGCAACAACTAGTAGATAATAAAGCATCTCAAGAAATTTCAGTTTCAGAAAAATAGAAAGAAATTGTCTTCAAATAATTCTTTGAAAATAGTTATACATGATGAAATTATCAAAATGAGTGTAGAGGATAGCAAAGCCTAGTTGAATAATTATTTAAGTATTTAATACCAAAAGTTGATTGCACCTTATGCTGTCCACACGTAAATTTATTCATTTCCAAGGAGAAGAGTATTGCATTTTTGGTGATTGGGAAAAATGGTTATTTTGGAGTAACAAAAAAATAACAGATGATAGTAATAATAAAAAAAATCATAGCAAGAGAGATAGTGGACTTCTTATATATTGGTGCATAGGTGAAGCTACTACGGTTATTCATACATTATAAATGATATAAGTTAGAGGATGTTTGACAAATAGTTGGAAATTATTTTGTTATTGGTTCCCGATATATTTTCCAAAGAATAAATTAAATTATCTAGATTGGACAAGTAATCGGCCGTAGTTGGTTTTATGGAAAAGTAGATTGGTCATTCAAAGAGGTTTTAAAACATTCTGATTACAGACAGAGCATAATTCATTCGAATTTATCTGTGGTGGGCAGATAAATTTGAAGATGAAATTGCTAAAGATCTAGTGATCTCAACAGGGAGTTTCAGAAGCGAACAGTTGGCGGATTGAGGAGTGGAAGGTTTGAGCACTATAGTAAGGCATAATCCTCATCAAAGATGTAAAACATGAAATATAGGAATATAACTAATGCGTTCAGAGCTTTCATCAGTTATTAAAAAAACCTAGCAACAAATGCTTTTTCAAAATGTAAATGAAGAAATGTTTAAAAGTTTTTTGGGTATAATTTTGTTTTCATTTTATGATGAACAAGATTATAAATGCATAATGCAGAAACTTGCGTAAATTATATAGAATACTAATAATGGGATACATTTTCCTACTAAATGTATACAATGTGTCCAAGACAAAGAGGGCCTGCATGGGAAAATCAAAAACATAAGAAATACAAAGTCGGTTGAATTAGCAAAAAGTTGTTCATTTTAGAGCTTAATTCAAATGAAGTTTTACAATGTGCTAATTAAATGGTTATGATGGTACATCAGTGAAGTTGTCGCCACAAAGGGTAACTATAATGGGTGACTTTTTTAAGGTCCATTTTGTGAGAAATAAATGTTCCCACCAAAGTTGTAAATCTTACCCACAAATAAAAAAGTCTAGTTTAAATCGAAATTGTGCAAAACCATTTTCCACCCTAAAACTCCACACCAAGTTTCCCATTATAATCACAATACTTCATATCCATTCTAATAATAGTTATCAATAAGTTTTATTGCCTAAAGAAACAAATAGTTATAATCTTTATCTTATTTGGATGGTATCATTAGATTCATTACAATCAATTTTTTGAAACCAAGTGGGCGATGCAGACAAACTAATGGATGAAATATTCAGCTCTAATTTTTTATGGAATGACATTTGTTTATAGCTAAAATTCTTGGTTCTTTTTTATTGAACATGTATATTTTTTTCAAATTGATGAAACTACGTTTTTTAGTATATAATTCACAATTTTATAAACGTCACTGAAATCTGATGGATCAATTTGTATATAATAAAAAAATTGCAGTAATAATTTCTTTTTACCGGATATTATTTTAAACCCAATATTTAATACTCTGATAAAAAATTGGATTTTTTGCAAAATCTTATATTGTAATAGTTTACAATTATTTCATTCAATGTAACATTGCATTTTACGGTTTTCAAAGATTTTAACTGGAAAGTTTTGTCAATTTAAAAAATGACAATCAATTCAAAAAATAGTAATGAATTACGTTTTTTTAGTTATTTTAAATCACACTATATTAGGAAGTCAAGAAAGGTAAGTCTCCAAATGATGTTGTAAAACACAAATGATTTTTGTTGAAGAATAAAAAAGAGATTCAATTTTTCCCTGGAAAATATCAGAATACATGTAAAAATAATTCATACAGAAGTTGAATATCTTAATATTTCCAATTATTCTTTTGAATTCAACTTTTATCAAAAGGACTAGTTTCAGTGGAAAATCATGACAAACCCTTAAAGTTCACCTCATTTCATCCCCCGTAAATTAAATTGACTTCACTTTACTTGCAATGCAGTGGGCTATTTTCTTAGCTATAAAGGAAAGAAAATAGCCCACTATTTTCTTTCCTTTATAACTATTTTTATGCTGTTAGCAATTTTTTTCTTCTTCAAAAATTATTTGCATTTGCCTATTTACTTTCTATGGGAAATAAAGACCATTGTTCAGCTTACTTATTGCTTTTCTGCTTGTATTCACGAATTTTATCAATGAAGAGTTGTTGAATGGGATCTGAAGCTTTCTGTAAACACGGTGCCAGGATTCCAATATTCCGGCTGCATACTCCAGTTTTGACACTGTTTTTCAAACCGTTCAACAATTGTGAAGACAGCATCTAAGGAAAAAAAAAAGTTATGTAATAAAAGCATATCCAGGAAATTAAATATCAGCTGAATTTTTAAAAGAAAATGGAACACAATAATAAATGAGTTTCAACATAAGAATAAATAAAAAATGTTCATTCCTTACCTTTTCGCTATTTGCTAAAATAGATTGATTAAAAATTATAATATGTATGTATAAATCGAGTTTGACGAGAGACGACTACGACCTACGACTAGGCAATTGACAAGTTGACATTAAATTTACTTGACAGCACCGTTGCCAATATGCCTTCTCTTTTTTTAATGGTCTCTGATTTCCTTACGGCGCAGTAAACCAACCAATATGCCAATTGAAAATTATGAAATTCCTCAGTTTCATGATCAAACTGCACATGCATGCTCTGAGGCAATATGAATTATAAGCAACATATGAATGAGGAACGAAAAAAGAAAAAATACATCTGATTTTCAGTTTGTAATCACATAGATAGTGCTCTAATATATGAAAAATTGAGATGCATTTAGCAGAATATAATGGACTTCTTCCATGAAGAAATTTCGCAATTTTGAAAAGAATCGAATAATTATGCACTTTCCATTTTCTACCACAAAAAAACATTGAGAGGGAGATAACATCATTTTGAACAAAACAAGATTGTTATATATTATTTTTATTCATTTTGAACCATGTATATGGTTTTTTTGTCGTCAGACACTTTTCCATGAAAGAATCCAACAATACACGAACATAAAAAAGACCCAATATTACCTGCTACACGTTTGTAATGGAGTGTTTTAAAAAGATAGTAATTTTCTCAAGAGTTAAAAGTAAAAAATCAGATATTATATGTATATTTGACCTATATGCTTTACATATTTTGAAAAACTCACTTCAGATTTGCTGGACAAGTGCATAGTGGAATGAAATTTCTTTATGCATTTTAATTAATGTTCAATCTACTTAATAAATTCCGTTTTACAAAATCAAGTCCTTGTTAAATGAATTATTAGTATGCTAAGTATCCACGAAAAAAAATCTCACAAATCATAGGTCGTTTCTATAATAAATATGGGAGGGCGTGAGGGCGATATGCTTGGAAATATCACTGTGAGGTATCCATATGTATTGTTCAAAATGTTTCAAAAATAACGTTATGCATATGTAATATAATCAAAATGTAATCAAAATCATATACTCATATCTGTCAATCTGTCTGTGATCTAACTGCATTGTATTGATTTTATTTGTTTAAATTCATTTTCAATTGTAATGATTTTTATATAATGATAATTTGTTTTCTCTTCTATAACTGAAAACTTGTTTCATTCATTAAAGCCATCTGACTGAATGGAACGTGTATACAAAATACAGCGCGATGACTGTCGGTTCATATCCTGAAATTTGGCAAAAACCGTTTTTTTTTTTGGTATGCATTATCGAATGAAAATTATGGCGTCTTTCCTACACTTATGGTTATACCAGAATGTGGTTCGCTCTCGATAAGAATTCAAAGTATTTGCTACAAAGAAGAATGTTCCAGTCATCAAAAACTTGTTGTATTTAATGATTTCGACTATGAAAAAAGAGCTAAAAATCATATAGAATCTTATCTTAACGTTTAGCAGGCTAAAATCTGCATTCGTCTTCAGATCGGAAAATATTTAATACATCTTGCAGCTTGCTCTTTCGTTCTTTTTATTTTCAAATGTCCTCGGTAGACGTTTGAACACAGTAATTGAACTGAAAAGTTTAATCTTTCTACATCTGTATAAAGTTCGAAACAACAATTTTCATTTTAAACAAGCATTTCTACCAATCCCCAGAAATGAAATACTATTCTCGTCGCACGTTTCATCAAACCAAGTTGGCCTCTTCATCTCTGTGATTAGGATAAGTTTCACAAACTACACCTCACGGTTTGATCACCACAAATTTGGAAAATATGTATCACAACATGTTTCGCTAACACAGTAGCTTTATCAAGTGATTGAATACCTACAATCAGAAAATTAGGATAAGTGCTTGTTTTGGATTTATTCTACGCCAAGGGTTCCAATTTTACTATTTATTACAATTCTTTAAATTTTTTCAATTATTGAAAATGAGAAAATACCAGCATGGGGTCGATTAAAAATCTCTGATTTTCTTCACAAAAATGACGTTTTTTCATTATATTACATTTTGTTGAATATATTACATTTTTGTTGAATAAATGTTCTCTCTGGCAACACTGTCGACACGTCATTTTTGTTTTGTGGAAGTTGTGGTTAGGGTTCCATATTTTCAAGATTTTTTCAAAAAAAAACTATACTTATTAGTAATTAATAACATGGTTTCAATATTAAATTCTATCGACACAGGCCATGAAGATATGATACACGATGCTGAAGTGGATTATTACGGTTTGCGTTTAGCCACTTGTTCATCAGATAACAGTGTTAAAGTATATGATATAAAAAATGGGGCCTCAACCCTTTTAGATGATTTAAAAGGACACTTCGGTCCCGTTTGGCAAATAGCGTGGAGCCATCCAAAATACGGCAATCTCCTAGCATCTTGTTCCTATGATAGAAAAGTGATAATATGGAAAGAACAACAGAGGAAGTGGTCAAAATACTATGAATATGCAAATCATGATTCTAGTGTCAACTCTGTTCAATTCGCCCCTGCAGAATTAGGGCTCATTCTTGCATGTGGCAGCAGTGATGGGTCCATATCCATTTTAACTTACAATGCTGGTAGTAATAATTGGGATGCAAAAAAGATTCAGAATGCTCATGCAATTGGATGCAATGCTGTTAGTTGGTCACCGGCAATAACGCCAATATTTGGAAATGCTGAGACCGATCAACAATCGCAACCTGTCAAGAGGCTGGTTTCTGGAGGTTGTGATAACCTAATAAAAATTTGGAAAGAAGATGGTGATAGGTAAGTTATTTTATATGACATTTGTGATGAATATTCATTTCAATGGCTCATGCTAGTTTATGAAGTCTGGTCTACTTTCGAAGATACAACCAATCAAAAGTGTAACAGATCTCTATGTTCTTGATAATCCCTCTTGTTCATATTAATAGGTTGTTTTTCAATTTCGATAGCTTCTTTGATTGTTCGAGAGTAGAAGTTTTCATTGCTTGCTAGTATTTTTGTGTTCTCGAAATAGATGTTGTGTCCTGTTGCCAATCAATACGTGTTGGAAGAGAGAAGACGTGGTGACTTTTCCCTTCACTGCTAGTTTGTGTTCATCTTTGCGTATGTTGATTCGCCTGTTGGTCTGGCTGATGTAAGTCTAGTCACAGTCTTGGCATTGTACTTCGTACATTCCTTGGGACTGGTGTATCACGGTTTTTCTGCTGTTTCCCTGTGGTGTTGCGTTCAAGTATCTCTTTGTGTGTGTGTGTTAGTTTTCGATATATTGTGTGGCGTAGTGAACCGTCGTGGCTTTTTCATTATCACATCAAGAAATGCAAGCTGGTTACCCTTTTCAACTTCTTTTGTGAATTCGATCCGTGGATGGATTTCATTCAAGTGATTAAAAAACCTTGAAAGTTCTTGATGTCCATGTGACCAAATCATGAAATCTAAAGCAGTAGCAACGTCACACTTAAAACTTAAACTCTGGCCGAGATATGTCAATGACATTTACGTGATTTGGTCACATGGACACCAGGAATTTTCAATGTTTTTTAATCACTTGAATGAAATCCATCCACGGATCAAATTCATGAAAGAAGTTGAAGATGGGAACCAGCTCGCATTTCTTGATGTGTTAATTATGAAAAAGGTGGATGGTACACTAGGCCACAAGGTATATCAAAAACCAACACATACGAATAGATACCTGAACGTAAATTCTCACCAACACCCATAAAAAATTCACTTGGTGGCAAAAACACTGATAACACGTTCGAGGAGGCTGGCAGATAATGATCACGGACAACAAGAGTTGAACACAATCAAGACAACCCTACGAACGAATAACTACTCAGAAAATTATAAAAGCGCCTTCCAAGACAACACGAAAACAGCAGAAAACCCGAGATAGACCGGTCATAACAACCACACTACAATATATTTTGGGAACAACAGACAAAATCAGCATAATTCTTTGCCAATACACCATAGCAACTTCATTTGTACCAGTACGGACAATAAGGTTCATGCTCTGTAATCCAAAGGATCAGACACCACTGGAGTCCCAAGGAGTGTACGAAGTACCATGTCAAGACTGTGACAAGATTTACACCGGCCAGACCAACAGGTGAATCAACATACTCAAAGATGAACACAAACTAGCAGTGAAGGGGAAAAGTCACTCTGAATTTTCTCTTCCAACACATATTGGCGACAGGATACTCTTGAACAATCAGACAGGCTATCAAAGTTGAAAATCTACTTAGTACAGGAAACTAATAGCAGTGTTATGCAACACATTTCCTTAGTGGGATAGCATAACTTATTGGTTTCATATGTATGTTTGTATATGATTATTGTGGTATTTGGCTGTACGTGAATGGTATCAATATACGTATTTTCTTCCGGGCTATAAGTGTATATTGGGATAGCATTCTTATTGGTTCATATGTAGGATTGTATATGATTATTATGGTATTTGGCTATACTTGAATGGTTTTCTTTTAATTCAATTATGATCACCTGAAGCATATTACCTCACTTCTACTTCAATAATACTGATTATTTCTTGGTTTTTCTAAGAAAACAAGTTCAATAACGGTGATCTATCCAAATCCAGTTGGCCATTCATTATAATGTATGAATTTTTAAGTTTATTAATTTCCATTGCTTCCAAATGATTCAGTTTCAAAACTTTATTTTCTGTGTGTAAAATTTCGAACTCTTCGTTAAAGATATGATTCTCTTCTAAAAGATGATTTGAATATGTTGAACTTATTTTCTTATTAACATAGCTCATATGGTGTTCCTGGATTCGATTCCTAAGTATTCTGCCAGTTTGTCCAATATATACCTTAGGACACGTTCCACACTTTAATTTATATACTCCTGATTTCTCGAATTTTTCCCAACCTATTACTTTTTCTATATGCAATTTTAATATCTCGTTTCCTTAAAAATGAAACCACTTTTTCCCTTGATTGTTCAAAATACGTTAAAGCTCTATAATTTTGATTATCTAACTTATCAATAGGAAAAACGTCTCGAATCGCTTTTGCGTAGACTTTTTTGGACAGTATTTTGGTTATTAATTCGGCTTTGAACCCATTGTTTACTGCAATTTGCTTGATGATATTGAGTTCTTTATTGAAATTATCTATTGATAGATATGATATATATATGAATGAATGAATGAATTGCGGGAAATATTATTTTTGCTTCAACTATCAACAGAGCTTCTTCAAAACATAATTTTATTTCTCTAGGTGGGTAGAAGAATCAAAATTAGAAGTACATTCCGACTGGGTTAGGGATGTGGCTTGGGCTCCCTCAGTAGGCCTCCACAGATTTATCATAGCAAGTTGCTCCCAAGATCGAAGAGTAGTCATCTGGACCAGTAATGATTGTATCAACTGGAATTCTACTGTTCTCCATACATTTGACGATGTTGTATGGAATGTCAGTTGGTCTTTGAATGGAAATATTCTGGCAGTATCTGGTGGAGATAATAAAATCACCTTGTGGGATCAAAACACTGAAGGAGTTTGGCAGTGCATAAGTGATGTAGCTAAGGGCCAGGGACAGATCAATAATCAATAATTATGAGGCAAAAAAACTACAATTTTATTATGGATATACTGAAATTCCCCAGGATTGTTGTTTATTCTAGTTCTAGAATCTTTTTCTTATTTTAAAATTCAACATGTTTTCAAAGTTATACTTGAGATTTTTCAAATAATAAATTGATGGATGTAGCCGTTACTACGTGGTAGGAGATTATAATGAAGAAAAGAGAATTGAAACTTTCTATGTAACTAACGTTACAGCAGTTTTGTTAGTTTCAAATACGTTAGTTACAAGTAAAAGTGGTAAAAAACATAGAAAGTTTCAATTTTCTTTTCTTGATTATTTTTCAAATACAACGTAAAGGGGAATTCATACCAGGCTTGGACTGATTCAAATCAAGCGTTCTTTATCATTGATTTAATGAAAAATATATTTTTGTTCAATTTGGACAAAAATTGAAATTATTAACTACTGAACTAACTGTCGAATAAATATGATGATTCTAAAAAAGTTGAGTAATTTTTAACAAAAAAACATGTATATTTGAAGGTTCAACCAAAAGAATAAAAATGAAGTAAACAAAACAATTTTCTGTTTTCATCTCAGAAAAACCACTGTGTGAAATAGCCAATAAAGTCTATCTATCTATCTATCGAATCCATGATTATTCTTCAATGTACACCAACACTGACCAACGAGTTCCATTCAGTAACTTGAAATAACTAACGACCTTTTTCATTAGATGAAAATCGACACCAAACATTCTAGAATCCAAACTAGTGCATTAATGTCCTTAGAAAATCGTTTTGTTTCAAAATAATTCTAGATAATTCGTTGCAACTAAACACGTAGCAACGCTGTTGAAGGAATACCTCTTTGATGGTTCTTCATTGTTTACAAAATTCACCAGTTCACGTGTGACATTGCTGTTCGTGCCTGATATTTATTCAAATAGTGATTTTCTAGTTGTACGAAGGTGGTCTGAAAAGTTTCCGTCCTCAACATGAAGATATCAGCACTCGTAAACCTAGCGCATTTCTGTGTTCATCTGTTGACAGTTACTCACCAAAGTTTCAGCCATATTGGACGCACAGTTGTTATGTAATAACCTCAGAGTAACAAAAAACAATAGAGAGGCCTTTTCCATCCTTACATTGAAGGCAGGATAACTTTGTTTACGGGAAGTAAGTTGGACCATAAAACAGTGACAGTCGGTTTAGTTGATAACCGGAGGGATATTATACATTTATAAAATAAATCATTTCAGGTGAAAACGTATTCTGTTCAAATAGTTCCTACAGGAAATCTGATTTATTATTAATGATTATGAAAATGGGGCCAGTTGTTCTACCACCTACTAGATTTTTATTTATGTATGGCTTTATAATAAAGCGCATGGTTTACTGGGTT